TGTTGCTTCTTCATTTTGTAGATTAGTTGTGACTTGTGAGGTCAAATCCTAAAAATATCAAAGTATGAGTACTACTAATTATTATATATCGCGATTATGCAATTTCAAAATATTGTATTTATTTGTAGCCTTAAATTTCTGAGAAAACATGAAACAAACCATAATTAATTTAAACATGCAATTAAAATTCATATATTCACTTTGCACCTTCCGTAAATTCCACTTAAATCGAAAATTGTTCCGACCTTGCTGACATTCTAATGTCCCTTTTGTAGCTTCCAATTGCAAATTTACAATAATATTGTAAAGTTTTAACTTTTATTTGTTTATAAAAGTGACATTAGGAATACATTTAATCCAGAGACAATATGACGGAATAAGGTGCTACGAACAGCAGCTCGCATCTACGCTGTCGACTTTGCGGTAATGTATCGACATGTCTCTTGGCTACGAACGAAGCGTTTTCGACAATACAATTACGCAAAAGCGGTTGTGTATGTAGAATACTTTTCGACACCAATATGGCTAGACCCCCTGGTCTGTGCTGTCGGAGAATAACATACCTAACCTGGAATTCGATCAGCCAATTCCGGGCGAAGCCATGTTTCCGACAGAGTTGAGACAAATGGTTCAAATTTATTATGCAAATGGATTAAATCATTTTTATTGCAGAAAGCGCTTCTGCAATTCCACTGGATTATTTGTTCGCGTTCGTGACTCATAAGCGGATTTTAATTTAGTTAAGGAAGCAATCATTTGGCGACGTTGTTCAGTTACGTTGTTGTCAGAGTTAGAATTGGATTTAATTTCAGTAAAAAATTACTGTTTATTAAAGCGACCCGTTAGAAGGAGCTGGAGCGTCGTAGTCCTTTATCAAATTGAAGTGTTCTGTTTTGTTATACCCCAGTCGTTTTGGTTTGGGGGATGTTGGTTTAGCAAATATTGTTTTCTTATAAGATCTACTATCCGACGGAATCGAGGGAGAGGAAGGCGATACATGTGGGACAGGAGAAATAGGAGTATTCTGGATGTTTGAAAACTTAACTATATCAGCAAAAGATTTTGAAATTGGATCATACACTTTATTTGCTTCTGCGTAAGATACACATTTCTGAGCCATATACAATTTAATTTTAGTCTGCCGTTCATATTCTGGACACTTTCTGTTTGTAGCAAAGTGTAGACCAGAACATAGACAGCAAGACGCGGCATCATCTTGTATGTTGCATGTGTCCCCAGTATGGCCATGGCCACACTTGTAACAGCGGGGCCGAGAGTTACAATTAGACTTAGTATGACCAAATCGGCAACAAGAACAGCACTGAATAGTGGGATATGCATAAAGTTCCACGGGCAGGGCATTGTAGCAGACAAATACATGTTTAGGTAGGGTTTGACCATCGAAAGTTATTACAATAGTCTGTGATGGCTTCCACTCAGGAGGGCTGCTGTTACGTACTTTATAATTTAGTCGTCTAATTTTTATAATTCCTCCGCTGCCTACAGGCAGAGAGATGTTGTCTAATGTCTCTTCGGGAGACCATTCCGCGGGAACGCCTCGCACCAGGCCCATTCGGGTCACATAAAATGAGGGAATAAAAGCTTTGTAATTATTTCTTGCCAGGCAAGGGTTATTAATAAATTCGTTTGCACATTTGTGATCTGAGAATGATAGGGAAATTCGGTTTCTGCCTATCCTTTTGATGCTACCATTAATTATGTTTTTAAAAGAATTTTTCTTGAGGAAATACCCAAAGTGGACGGGGTGTAGGGAGGAGATGTCCGTATCTAAAGAAACTTTTTGCGCATGAACTACGAATGGCCCTATGTCACAGGTATCATAAAACGTTCGGCCTATAGGATTTTTTATGAACTGAGAAACATCTGATGGTGGTGATGGGTGCTGTTGGGTATTAACAGTTGTAGTATCTACACGGTCTACTTTGTTCTGAAAACTATCTAGAGCATTAGCGTTCTTAAGCCCAGTATATATTGAGGGAATTTCAATTTCCGGTATTTGGCACGAACAATCAGTGTCCTTTTGTTTGTTCCGACGCGTCGGATCGAATCTTTTTTTCCTTTTGTTGCAGTGTTTGCAAATTTTACCTAGTCGCGTTCTTTTTCGGTCATTCCGTTGATCCACATCTGTATCTACACTGGACTCGTCCAGTTTAGAAAATCTATTTTCTATTATAATATTACAAGCTACCTCGGGGGGCGAGCCCCCGATGTCCGGGGGCTCGTCCATTTTTTCGCCTGACTCCAGGCCTTGAGGAAAAAGTATACAAACTTACCAGATACTATAGAATATATACACAAATGAATAAACTAAACTATTAAATTAAATTACTACATACAAATATATACAAACTGATCTTTTATACAAGTTAAATTAAATTTAAAAATTTCACAAGAAAAAACACTCCCGCCACGACCAACGTTTCCCGCGCTTTTTTTTCAAAAAAAATATATACTATATAAAATACTATAAAATTTATAAGCCTGGCAACGGAGCATTACAGGCTATTAATTACCACAGACTAGAAGGCCGATATACTTATACTAAGGGCCGATTTATATTATCTTAGTGTTTAGGAAAGTATTTTAGTACAACTTGAAAGGCAAGTTCGTTAGTGCTTTAGTGCGTTGCGAGTGAACGTTTACATTTCTTCCAGTAGAGTATCATTACAGCGCCACAATGACCGCGCAACGACGTCGGCAAATACGCTCTATTCTACACAAAATACTAACTGTAGTTATGGAACAAATAGAAGACGAGATTTTATTCGAAATAAATAAACAAAATATAAATAATAAATCAAATAGCTTATTTTAAGGCAGTGTATGCCGAATGCCTAGCCTGTTTGTTTTTGTATAAATTGTTTTTAACGTTCCACAAACATTCGTGAACAACATATTCAGACACAAATTTGATAGTTGTATCTTCCGACCATTTAGCCACCTTTAAAAATCAAAAAACACGCATGCGTTTCACGGCACTTGTGCACTCTCCTAAAGATTTTACTAAATGTAAATTACGTGTTTACACACAACGAGGAAAGATCTCGGAGGTTGCGCGGGCGCGGGAGGGGTATCACTTGAAACAAAAATAGAAAGCGATTCTATTTTGATTCAACTTGAAAGTCAAGTAGAACCGTACTAAAGCAAGTAGCGTTTACATGTTTCAACTAAATAACTATCCTAAAGCACTCTGCTAAACACTAAGATAATGTAAATCGGCCCTTAGACTGACTATTGACTAACAAGAGTAGTTTTTGTTTTAATTTTATGGCCTGGTAACGAGACCTTTAAGCCAAACAGAGTAGTATAAATCATAAATAGAGTTTTATAAATATAGCAGGATATAGGGAATTTGCGAAGGGAGAAATTAGAGACGGGAAATACAAGAACTAAAGCATGCAACCCGTGTAAAAAGACGTCAAATGAAATACCACTACTCGATTTCATTCAAAACCAATGCATAAAAATGTTCTTTCAGGAAACAATACTAGGATACTATTCCCTATATCTATATTTTAAGACTTCCAATGTTTGATTTCATTACAGCTTTTTGTTGTGAACGTTTTTAAGTCATTCAATAATTTACAAAACAGTCAACATAAATTCTTGCTTATTAAAGTTACTACGTGATTAATTATGATTGTATTAAAAGAAACAGCGGTTACCGCTACATATTTTATTTTAATAGACAAATATGGTGAAAACCTGTAAGAAAACTTGCGTAAATTAAAACATGACGAGTATTATATTATATTATTTTTATGCATTATAAAGACTAGATAAAGGAACAAAATAATTCTTTTTTGCTATTTCGGCGTGGTTTTGGTCCTTTAGTTTGCTTTTGACATTTAATTATTTAATACTTGCCTCCATCATCATGAGCTGAAAATGTCTACTATGTGCGTTTTCCAATTACAGCACTAGAGCGCATTATGCGGCATAATGCTCAACGTTGAATGTTCCAACTACAGCAACGCTTCGCACAATTGAGCACTTTCAAAACGAATGCTCTCGCGTGCTTCTCGCAATCAATACCAACACAGTGACAGAAAATTGACCAGTGTTTTTCTTTAAGTTGGCATTTATCGAAATTTTCGTTAGTAAATATTATTTATTGTTGAAAAATTTGTAAGGCTTTCGTTTCGTCGTAGATTTTGAAAATAATTAAAGTTATTTCATACTGCTAAAAAAAAATATAAGTATGGATGAAGGTATAAATAGTTACTTTTTTTATATTCCACATTTAAAATATGAATACAATTTTATTTTAAAATTCGGATCTGTAAACAAATTTATTTTACAGGATTATACTTTTGTAAACATTGCAATGGTTTTGAAAAAGTATATAATTTTTTTTAGAAATCATTAAAAAAAATTACTCAAAACGTAAATGATGAATGAATTCTTACATGAAACTAAATATTTTACTGTTAATTTAGCTTGTTAAAACCTTATATTCTTTAAAGGTTTTCTCTTATTTCAGTAAAGAAATGTTAATGAAATAATTTGATTATAGCGTAACAAGTTTTTTTAACCAATTATTATTGTTTACCACATTATTTATACATTAATGAGGTTGCTAACTCTATTCAGAACATTTTTTTTTTCAACACTGACTTAGCGCACTCTACTGATGCAATTAAGCTTCAGCATTATGCGGCATTGTGCGGCACTGAGTCGCATAATGCTCTGTAATTGGAAAACGCACAATATTACGTCTTAATGTAGATAATATTTTTACTCTGTTATAATTAGTTATCTATGGTAAGCCTATTTCTCAGTTTTTGCTGAATATTCATGGTCATTTTGACAACCTTTTCTTAAAAGGTGACGAAAAAATCTGTGCAAATAACAAGGGCAGTGGGCAGCGCAAGTATTTATTTTATTTTATGGAGTGATCATTCAAAGACATATAATCAATTCTTGAATAATTCTGCCTTGGGCCAATTTATAGTGAGAACTTATTGTGTAAACTGAAAATGTCAACTCCTGCCAGACGACGGCTAATGAGAGATTTTAAACGGTTTGTACTATATTTTTTAATACTTAATAAAAATTAAATAATATTTTATATCTGTGTTTTGTCTAGTGGATCATCAAATTACCTACCTGATGCAGAGATTTTTATACTTGTCCTATATTATTTCGCATTGAACGATCGATTTTGTTGAATTTGCTTTATTTTTGCACATAAGACTTGTGCTATAAGCGGAGTGGTGCGTCACGCGTTTATGCATTTACAGCTACGTGTTATTATGAATGTTAGACAAAAAGAAATTTCATAACGTATTTATTATTACTAGTAACTGATAGAAAGAAAGATCTGTGACCTACTTTTGAAAACCAAAAGCATAATTTAATCAATATTTTGGTAATTAAACAGGCAAATTATTAAACAATAAATAATTTAATATATTAATTTTCAGCCTCCAGGAAGATCCACCAACGGGAGTGTCAGGTGCACCCACCGACAATAATATAATGATCTGGAATGCTGTGATCTTTGGGCCTCATGACACTCCATTTGAGGATGGAACGTTTAAGCTTACTATTGAATTTACTGAAGAATACCCAAACAAGCCCCCAACAGTTCGTTTTGTATCTAAGATGTTTCACCCAAATGTCTATGCAGATGGTGGAATATGTTTAGACATATTGCAGAACAGATGGAGTCCTACTTATGATGTATCTGCAATTTTAACTTCTATTCAGGTAATATGAATATGCCTTTTAGTTTATAAAGTATAGGCTATTAAAATTATGATTAACATTACTTACTAAACATTTTATATTATTTTACAGTCTTTACTAAGTGACCCGAACCCTAACTCTCCAGCAAATTCAATGGCTGCTCAGCTTTATAAAGAGAACCGTCGAGAGTATGAAAAGCGGGTGAAAGCATGTGTAGAACAGTCTTTTATAGATTAACCAGGCATAAATGGGAGCTTGGCCACCCATTATAAATAATAAATTGCTCTACAAAATATGGGCTGACACTGTTATACATGGAACAAGTGTGAAAATAATATTTACCATTACTAAATGTACTATTGCTGCCATCTAAGCCTTGGTGGGTAAATTATTATGAATTTTCAATAAAAAGTACCTACCCATTAAATTTTTAATGTAGTAGTGATGAAATATTAGCACCATATTTTGCTCTTAAATTTATTCGTATGGTAGTATCATAGAAATAAACACTTTTAAAAGTATGTAACCACAATATGTTATAGAAAACCTACATCTGCAAAGTGAGTGATAAAAAACATTTTAAATTGTGATTGCAGTAAGTTTATAATTTTTCATTGTATCTGTTGTGCTAGATTAATTGTAATCACCTATAACATTCAAATTATAATAGAATAAGTTAATATTTCATACTGATTAACATTTTAAATAATATTATTTGATCACTTCTGTTAATGATAAAAAAAATTGTTGTTGAATTGCAATAAATGTAATTATACAATTTCTCACGTTGATTTTTTTTCTATGTTTACTGAGCTGAGTACAAGTGTTTTATATTGTTTACATTTACTAAATACAGTCTTACTATTTATTATTGCATTTTATTATTATTAGTGAAATAAAATAATTTTACTGACATTAAAGTAAATGATAGTGAAAGGTTCATTTACTTCAGGGGTATAAGTTAAAGTTTTTGAGTATTAGGACAAAGTAATTTATAAATTGGTAACTTCAACAACTTCTATTCCACTGTCTTTTTAACATGTTGCTGGATTTGCAATTTTCAAGAGATCTATTATTTTGTGTTTTATTAAACTTCTATAATTTTGTTATTTACTAATAGGGTAGTGTCCTAAACATAAAAATCTGTTAGTTTTTATGAATCTGGTAGTCTGCAAAGGGTCAGGGGCCTAGTAGCATAAAATACAATACATATATGTATATTAAGTTCGAGTTCTTTTGGAAAAATGACCACAATAGTCATGTCAGTCATATTTAAAAGTAATATAGATGGGCATTGACAAGATCCAGATAGGGTCAATCAACTATATAAATAAATGAATACCACAAAATGTGTATAAAAGTATTTAATAGAAAATTAACCTTATTACCCACAATCATGAAGCAATACGCTTCAATAAAATATATGCAGTATTTTAAATATTAGAATAATTGCATATGTTACATTTAAACATCTATAATATGATTAAATTAAAATGTTACAAAAAGTAAAAATTCAATTTACTTTATAACAAATCAGTATTTTATTTATAATAATTTCTTCACCAAGTTAACAAATGAAAAGTGAAATATTGTAACCATCAGACATGTTAAATAAAGAATCAATAAACAATTATGCATTATAAATGAACCTTTAAAATATACAATTGGTTAAGAAAATTAGTATTAATTATCACCTAGTTTTAAGATCTTCCTTTAACTTATAATGTAGAAGTTCCATACAAACGGTTGCATCTTCTGCACTGTCATGACCATCAACAGAATTCTGTATAATTTTTTTTAAATATTCAGATGAAAGGTTTCTTAGTGCCCTTTTAAATGGAGGTCCCATTTTATGAGGATAAAGAACACTTGTATCTATAACCGTATCATGAATTAATTTTAGTGCTTTAAAATCTGATTCCAAACTATGTCCTATTAATATTGTTTTGCTGTTAAACATGGAGAGTAAAGTGGCTTGAACTTCTAGCAATGTTGTGTTTACTTGGGACATGTGCTGTTCTGTTATACCAGAATACCGAGTGTTATAATCTATGATTGGATGTAATGGTTTAACCAATGTTTCATATATTACTTTACATTCTGTATTTATCACTGTTACTCTTGTTAAGTCAAGTCCATATGTTGTGTAGCACATTTCACAGTCTAATGAATATATGCCATAATTATCCATTTCTCTTTGAGGGGGAAGAGTCTTTACAAAACCTTTTAAATTATCAAAATCAACATATTCATATACATGGCTTTCTGCTACACAACATCCATCTGATGAACCATCTTGACTACAGCACTGGTATTTTACCTCACCACGAACTCTGTACTTATTGTTTGGATGGTATATACATTCTTCTTTAATAATTGGGAATCCTTTTTTATTTATTGTATATTCTTTTTTGCATCTACAGCAAGTTCTGATAGACCCTTTGGGAGGTTTCTGTTTATTTTGTCCATAAATTATTGCCCTTCCCTTATCACCACTACTATGAGTTCTAGGAAAACCATTTAATTGCAATTGTTCTTCTGTAAGTACCCATTTCTTTATGTTACTATAAAATTTAGCTCCAGTATATTGTTCGATATTGTCATACGTCTTTTTACTTCGACTCTCAATGCTCCATGATCCCAAGGAGTTTGTATTATTTTTAGAACTTGGAACTTTTTGTAAAGCTACACAATCATTACCAGATTTTTTTACACCATTAGTTTCTTGTAACTCTTTTTTTAATCTACTTATAGCTAGGACGGCAGAATTTTTATAAATTGGTACTGTACTACATTTCTTACTTGTTGTTAACTCCTCATGTTGTGCTCTTGCATATGCATCTACAGCAGACAAATAAATATTCAGACATTGGTCAATCATTAAATTTAAATAGGTAGATCTAATATTTGCAGGGATTTTAGATCCTAATGGCTCTAAAACTCCTGGTCTGTCAATGAACTTTTCATTAGGCACATGTGCAACCCTTTGTTCACCTTTCCTCACTGTTTGTATTGATGTAAAACTAGTTGAAGCTTTAACTATAGGTTTACTTATAGGAGGTGCAATTGATTTCTTAGCAGTTAGTAAAGTTGATGCATAAGGTACATGAGCAATTCGCACTTTAGAGATTGTGGGAGATGAAATAGCCTTGATTTCTGGCTTAGAAGCTTTAGTCACATTAACATCAATGGCGTCTTTTTCCGCTTTAGATGCATGAAACTTTCTTATCTTTGACAATCTTTCTGCCATAGTTTGAGCAGCATTTTTTTTGAAATCTGGTTTAATAGATGGTTTTGCAACAATTTTGATATTTTTATCAATTGTTCTAGATATCCTCTTCTTAGTAGGTATATATGATTCACCTTCATCGGAAACTTCTTGTTTACATAAACTTTCATCAACAGCTTTTGTTTTTAGTTGTGGAACATATTCTTCAAAAATTCTCTTACATTCTTCTGCAATTGTTTCTTCATCTGAATCCGATAATACTTCATTTTCTAGTGTATCAATACCATCTAAGCTATCGTTATCTGGACTAAAAGAAACTGAACCATCTCTTTTTCCTTCGTTTCTTTCTTTTTCTTTTGATTTTTTATGAGACTTATTGTGTTTATTGTGGCTTTTTCTGGAACTTCTGGATTCTTTATGTGACTTTGATTCTTTTACTTTGTCTCTTGAAGAACTACTTTTTGATTGTCGTGAAGATAAAGATTTTGTATGTTTGTCTGGCACTTTATTTTCTGAGGGTTTTGACTTTGACAATCTAGAACTAGAGGATTGTGATTTGGATTTTTCTTCTTTTTCTTTATTATTATGAGAGCTCTTATGGCTTGTCCTGTGGTTTAAATCTTTTGTACTTTTTTTATGTTTATCATTTTGCTTTGCACCTTTCTTGTTAGAAATTGAATTATCACATTTCTTAGTTTTGCTTTTATCATTATTATTAATAATAATGCCATTTTCTATACATGAAGCTTTTTTATCTTTAGTTTTTAAAACATCAGTTTTGTTTTCTTCATCAAGTATTTGATCTAGAATGTCAAATTCAGGTCCTAAATCATCAAACCCATTTAAATCACTAGATATTTTAAGTTTTTTTGGTTCTGGTTCTTCTTCATCACTTGAAAAGCATGGAACTAGGGACTTTGGTGTTGGTTGATACTTTACAGCATGTACATCACACTTTTTAGTAACAATTGCTGGTTTATATTCTATAATTTTACTTTTAGTGGTATATTTATCAGATGGTGTATAATTATGTTTGTTAGATACTTGTGTCTCCTGCAAATCGTTAGGCAAATATTCTTGAATTTTAGCATCTGCTCCAGGCAAATACTTTTCACTAGATTCTATAGAACCTTTAGGAGTGTAGGGATCTACTTGAGTACTTTCAGCTCCAGGAGTATATTGTACAATTGGAGCTACATATAACTTAGATCCATTAGTATCTACAGGCCTTTTAATTTGAAGTGCAGCAGGCTTTCGGGGAGTATATGGCACTGGTACATGTCGGCGTTTTTTATCAACGACATCTTCCACTTCCGATTCAGTGTGAATTTTATTTAATTCGGCTATAGGCGTAGGACTATAGGTCGCCTTCACCTGCACTAGTCCAGTCTGTGTATTGGATCCGTTAACGTAAGTATCGTTATCCTGTGAAGTTGAAGGCAATCCTGTGGCCTCATTCTGACGTAATACCTTCTGCACTGCTGCTGAAACCAATTTTTGTAGTATCTCTCCACTTTCAATTCCATCCCCGTTTTGTTCTCTTTTAACATGTCGAAAGTGACAATAGGGTCGTTCACACAGGCCGGTATCAAAAAATGGACAGTTAATGCCTTTAAAATAGCCAGTCGATGGTAACATAATATAATGCCTGAATTTTACCTAGTTCTTTTACTTTATTAAAGCATGCTGTGTTACAAAATATAAATGTATTAAGTATGACATAAAATACTATTGTTTACTTTGAAAATATTTTTCTCAGTCTTGACTTTTCACACTTTAGATTATTTAATGAGGAAGCTCTCATCTCATAGCTAAGCAATAGTAATACAATTACAAATTATAAGCCAATTCTTCAGCCTGTGTTATATTATATTCTATAAAGTGTTGACTGTCATGTGTTAACTATGCTGAACACAGATATGTAATAAATATACTAGCCCTTCCCTGGTATTGCATTTATATTTATGTTATGCTATTTATGTACGTTTGAATGTAGTAATACCCTTTTATTTAGATTTTTAGTTTTATTTTAAAGTACCTTCTGCATCCTTCTCATTAGGCATAGTTCTATAGTACGTTTGTGTAGTTGGCAATGGCGTAACATACTACATTGTAGGGATGTGAAAAAATAATCGATTATTAAAAAAATCGATTTTAATCGATTTTTTTTAAAGTAAAAATCGATTTTTTTTCGCGATTTTTATATTTAAAATAATCGATTAATAATCGATTATTTTTATAATTGAAAATTAATCATAATCGATTTTTTATCTGCCACCTCCCGACATTATGTCTGGTCTTCTATAACCCGGACCTCGAACTATTAGGGATATTCGATACACAACGATTTTTACAATGCGATACATTGATGTTGTGTGAAAAAATCAAGTTTGAATGGAACCCTACAATTTAAAAGTAAAATAAATTTATTCAGCAGCACAAGACTACATACAATTAAAAAGACAACAAAAATACTGCAATGTGCTACTGAAAAGGAATACACTCAGCATTTATCAAAATCTATCAAAACGAGATAAAGTTAATTTCGATTTTGATTATTCTTAAACGTTAATTTGTGTTTATAATTTCTATTGTTTATTTTTAATTTAAAAAAACCATGAAAAATAAAATATTTAGGGTGTTTATTTTGAAATTAATTCAAAAATTAGGAAAAAATCGATTAATAAAAAAAACGATTTTTTATGCAGAATGTCACATCCCTACTACATTGCATACTTCAGAGACAGACATATTAACGTTCGTCCTTCGACCTAAAGATAGGATTTTCCTCCTGTCTAATTACCTATAGGCTAGCCCGAATAAATCCGTTAGCGCGACTAATAAAATACTTAATCAGGGTATGAAGTTAATGTATTATTGCAGCTGTAGAATATAGGTGTGTATGTATATATATATTCATTCTTAGTAAATGTGTAAATATAAGAAGCCTATTTTTTAACAGATGGCAACACTTTTCCACGAAAGTCGTCGCATAAAATGTCTTATTCACATATATACCTAAACTAAGGTAATTATAGAAGAGCGAGGCTCTATCTAGATATCATAGTTACTTAGGATAATCTTGGATTATATTCGTTGCAATAAAATGCTTAGGTTAGCCAAACAGAAGAAGAAGTTATGAAGAGCGGTTCGAATCGTCGACGACCAATCCCTCTCCGAGCGGCTTCATCCCTTGGCGTTGAGTAGAGATGTGAGGTCACTTTGCATTTTCTACCGCATTTACTATAGAGAATGTTCAGAGGAGTTGTTCGGATTATTACCTGCAGCTGAGTTTCATCATCGGACGTCGCAAAAGAGCGTACCAATTCTTAAAAGGCCGGCAACGCACTCGCGAGCTCTCTGGCATGGAGTCACTTAACATCAGATGAGCCTCCTACCCGTTTGCCCCCTGTCCTCTAAAAAAAACGTTAATTAATATGAAGTTAGGATAAGAGAGATAGGGGCTAAGATTAAAATCAGTTTTTTTTTAATTTTATGGCAATAGTTTTGACTTTATGCAAGTTTCAAGAAAAAAAAGGTCTCCTTTAAAGTTTTTAAGCCAAGTCTTGTTTTCGATTATCCGTAGACATTTATGTTTTTCGTACCTAAAAAACCTTAAAAGAAATATCTTTTCCTAGACTAATATAATATTATACATCTGTAACTTAACCTATATTTAACCAAAGAGTATATAAGCGTTTCGAGTATTAAGTGTACTAATTTACATTAAACATGTATAAATTGTAAAATAATCTATTTATTATTATTATCTGTTTTCTACCACTAAGGTGTGATAAGGGAACTCTTTTGTTAATGCGTGAATACACAATACACATTAAATAATAATATTTAAACCATGTCATGGCTATTCAAAGCATTGCAAAATTGATGTCGCAATTGCCCAAGGTTAGTACTGGTGGTAGTAAGTAGTAACTAATAAAGTATGTATTTGAAAGTTGTAAACCGTGTTGTTTAGGTTATTTATATATCAATAGATAAACAAATATGGAGTTTGTAATTATTTTTTTAAATTTTATACCATCTTCATTTCAGAACTTATCAAAAGCAGTGACAGATGTCTTTGATAAAATAATCAGTCTTTTAGAATATTTGTATCCTGATTTTGGTGTGTGATCCAACATGACTGAAGCATTAGCAAAAGATTATGCAGCTTATCTTAACTTAGATTTGACATGTAACTTACAAACAGTACAAGATGTAATTGATAATATGATCACTAGACTTGAAGAACTGACAAGTGTTTTGCACATGATAAAAACAAAAAATAATGATTGCTGTTCAACAGTAACATCTGATATAAGTGCCTACAGAAATGAAATCACGGTACTGACAAAGAAAATACTAACATTGAGTGAAGTTATATCTAAACTACAAACAAACATAGAAATTCTAGAACAGAAAGTGGAAAAAGCAGAAGCTGACTTTGAAATCAAATATGAAAATAAGTTAAAAAGTCTGTTTAGGCCATTTCTTAAAAGAAATAAAGATGTATTACCAGAATCATCAGTATCTATTGAGAACTTAGAAATTTCCAGCATAACGGAGTATTTTGAAAATAATAATAGATGATGTACAAGTAAAAGAGATATGTATATATTTTTTGAAATATTTATTGTGAATATGATACTTAAAATTATGTAATTGTTTAATTACTGGCTTCCAGTTGAACCAAACCCTCCGTCTCCCCTGTTAGTTTCAGATAAATTAGAAACTTCTTGCAATGTGGGATAGTAAATCCTCTCACATATAAGCTGTGCAATTCTGTCACCCTTCTTGACAACAAAATCTTGATCAGAATGGTTGAAAAGAACCACCCCAATATTACCTCTGTAGTCTTCATCTATAACACCAGCTGTAAGTTTATATTTAAATTACAGGTATTTACACTAGAGCAAAATTGTTAAATGACTGAATGAATAACTGATTTACCTCCAACATCTATAAAATTTTTGACAGCCAATCCTGAGCGTGGTGCAACTCTGCCATAGCATTTAGATGGTAGCTCTATTTGCAAGTCTGTTTTGATTAGTTCCTTACCCCTTGCAGGAACAGTATAGTTGTATGCACTAAAAAATTAAGTTTCAATATATTATAACTATCATGACATTAGGTTAATAATATTTACCACTACCATAGATGACATCCTACAGAGAATTTACTATGTAGATATAATAATTAAATGATGTCTCCTTTAATTCTTAAGGGAAGATTAATTTAATGTAGCAACAAAGTTAGTAGTATCCGAATTGTTGATAATAAAATATTTCATAAATACCTAAGAATCGCTTTATTTTATTTCTGAATATAAATTTAAACAAATTTTATGTTGTAGATAGTAAACCTTTAATCTAATTAAAATAAATATTATAATATCAATACCTTTTTAAGTCATAACCAGCTGCCTTCTCTGAACCTTTGACTGGCGGGAAAGCATGTTCAGAAAGCCGACTGAATTTCAAAATGACTTCGCCCTGGGCTTGCATTGCTCCCGTAAAAGACGCGAAAAATAGTTCAGAATTATGAAAAACTAACAAAACCAACTGAATTTTAATAGAGTTTTCAATAACTCGGGCAATTCGATTTTCAAAAGACTGAAAATTCGAAATTCTGCTATGCTATACTAAAAATATGTAGGTATCCTATTACCTATACTCGTATAATTAATCATAGAGAATTGTAAAACCGAGTAATGAAGTGGCAGATTCAAGTAACGGAATTAAGAATTTAATTCAATGAACAATAAAATGGCGCCAAACGCAGGACTATATTGTCATTTGTCTAAAATATGAGAGACAGAACTTACAGATAAAATATTATTTCCTATAATTTCTTCGTAGGCAGATAAAGAGACAGTTAAAATAATAATAAAAAAGGGTGCGTGTACTTATGTACGCGCGTAAGAAGTTATACTTCTTTGGCATTATTAAAAATAGTTTGGCTTTGTTCCACCTCCAGTTTTTGATGTTTCACAGCGATAAGATGACAACTCTTTTTTTGTATTCAATTTAGTGCACTTACACTGATTCATCAATTGTTTTTTGTCTCTTGTCCTTATATTTGCTAGAGAAAAATTACATGTTTTGATTAAACAATGTGGTAATTTTTTTAATCAAAACATTACTCGATAATAATAATACAAACTGATAGTTAACCTCAATTGTAATGAAGCACTTAGGAAGGTTGATGAGCACAGTTTTTTCACAAATATTAATTAGTATTGGTTTAAATATTCAATTTAAATCACTTCTGATTATATATAATTCAAAAAGCATTGCTAAATTTCTTTGAAAAAATAATTAAAACTCCTTTATTTGTTTAAAAGGTAAATGACAAATGTCATTATGGTCATTCAAAATTCTTGGCATACGAACTTCACGCATATTCTATTTCTTTTTACTTGTAGATTGTCTTATTCCTATCTCGCTCGCGCACGCTATAATCACACTCCTAATTTTGTGTCACAGGTGCGCGCGCATCGTAAAATTTCACTCTCATAAATTTTTCATAACGCGCCTAAAGAAGTATAACTTCAATAATATGTAAATTACTCGTGAAACAAGTAAGTGATTGTTTGATATATTAATATTATTAAAATATCTGTAGGTATTTTATTATTCCTAGAATGGTTCATGATTATATTCTTACTTAGTAAGAGAAAAAATTATTTATGTATGAAAATAAAAAATATTATGTTTTTGTAACATGTTTTGCATTAATTTCGAACTATTTTTTTTTACTAATTTAAACTGAATTTATGTACGTGTCTTGAACACGCCATTACAAATGATATAATCTGTTATCTGACTGACTCGTTTGACATTAAAATATCTTATGTATAATTATTATACGACCCCCTTATTCATTTAACTACTATTAACGGCAATAATCTTTTGTCTTTCGAATTTAGATATCGGTTTCAATATAAATATTAGGTCTTTACATATAAAATTTATGTTTTGTCCTACTGGCCACTTTGACCACAAATATCTCTTTTAACCGAAAAAGTTATTTGTGAGTTTGTTGGACTAGTTCCGGGTTCGTTCACTATAACTTTCTTAAATCTGACCAGACGATTACGGCAGATGTCTATTGTCAGCAACTGAAAACCATGAAAAGCTAGCTGCTAAACAACTAAACTGGTCAATCGCTCTAGACCACACACTGCACAACAGACTGCTACCAAATTAGAGGAGCATCAGTTGGAATGTCTAAGACATCCACCATACTCCCCGGCTCCGTACTTTGCTCCAACAGCACCATTATTAACCATTTTTTTCGAAATCTGGATAACTTCTTGCAAGTTAAAAAAATCAACTCTGGTGGGGCAGTCGAAAGCTTGAAAGATTTTATTGAGTCACCGTGACCACGCACGCTGTAAAGCACGCGAAACGTCGGATAAATTTAAAATTATGTTAAATAGTTGTAAATTTATAATAATACATAACTTCAATCCGGTCAAAATAGTGTTTTATTAGATTTTATTGATTCCCGTACGAATGGTTTTTTAGTGAAGGGATCAATGAACTACCTGTAAGATGGCAAAAGTGCATAGATAGCAATGGTACATACTTTGATTAATTAAATATATTCTATTTAAAAAATCTACTTTTTGTTCCTCCGCCGCAAAACGCCAATCCAATATTTAAGGACCTAATACATAATTACAGACTACCTAATACATAATATAGGGCACATTACATAATCTTTAAAAAAAATATTACGCAATTCGTTCTATCTAATAGAATAGAAGATAATGTGAAATAAATGTATTTTTCATTAATTAAATGACATTTAAATTAAAAACGGTCACTAATTAGGTACTGCCATAAACTAGCTTGTTCATGCTGGCGCTTACTAACACGATAAGCTTAACACCATCACATATTGTAGACTTTATTTTGTATTAATATATCTTAATATATATAAATTACGTGTCACGTTGTTTGTCCGCTATGGACTCCTAAACTACTGAAACGATTTCAATCGAATTTGCACACCGTGTGCAGTTTGATCTAACTTAAAAGGTAGGATAGCTTACATCTCAATTTATACCCGCAATATTATTTTATTGCAAAATATTTGTTTAATATTTGATAGTCACAATTCTAACAGATGGCGCTGTGTTGAAAGTATCAACGTTTCAAATAAGCTACAATTTAATGGCATTACCACCAAAAAAGTATGGTGGTCCCCGTGACTGGTGTTCTCCTACCGTTTCCCTTGAATAGATTACTACTATGTAATATAACTAAAACCTTAGCCACAGCAACGCTTGGCCGGTCTGCTAGTATAATATAAAGATGAAAGATTTGTTTTTATAACATATACTTAATTGTATGTTGGTTTTGAAGTGGTGAAACAGAGATCGCTCCTTACAACGCGTTAGTTAAATGATCATATTTTGTGCATGATATATGTATATATATAATAATTTTCTTTAAATTCTTATATAAAAACTTACGTTAATTCCTAAATTGGTGTCTTAGTTAATATTATCGTTAACCTGGGTTAAAGGTTATGAAAAAAACTTCTCTTTAAATGTATTATATATATTCTTTTAAATAGCAACTATGATTATACTGCAAAGACAGATTTATAATTAACTAGAGTATATTTTATAAAATTAAAAAAAAATATTTTACTTTTATATAATAGTGTATTAGTTTTAGTATGAATTATATGGGCTCTATAACCTAAAATGATTTTTCCAAGATGATTATAAATTTTAATTGACTTTAAAAAATCCAAGTTCAAGCATATCACTTCTTTCCTTGGACCGATTGTGTCGCTCTAACCTCAGTTAGGAATTTATAACTTCATTATTAAATTAGTATTTTACAATGTGTCTAAGCTGATGGCGTTATACCTACATAAAACAAAAAGACGAACCACAAACTAATAGTGGAGTGTAAAACTAACACTAGAGGCAATAAGCCTAACAATCAGGGTTACCCTACAGTGGATAAAAGGGCACAGTGGATCTCTCGGCAATGATGATGTCGACGAACTTGCATGGAGAGGATCAGGAATGCTTCTTCATCCACCTAGTCCTGGAATGCGTGGAGCAGTGAGGACGCTCCGTGAAGCCTGTGAAATACCCAGTAAACTTCTGAGCTTCTGGAAGGACCAAATGTGCGTCTAAGTGCGGAAACCGAGTCCACACTACTATACTTTACCATACCTTGGACAAATTTAGGTAAACTACCTCTCAAATTATTTGGATTTGCAGTGAATTTGTCCCATTTAAAGTGTTTTGCATACTTACTTTATTTGTTTTCAAATTAATATCTGTCGGCATTTGGGGTAAAAATCGATGACCCTAAAATAACAGCAGAACACATACCGTGTTTCGTCCACTATCGACGACGATCTCGAATGGCCTAGTCATCTCGTCTTAGGGTGAGGATGATCTTAAATGACATACAATTTTGATGGGAATCAGATTTAGCGCTAAGCATCGTTTCTGAATCTTTAGTCAGACGATCGCTATAATATTTTCTAAAAAAAAGTAAATTTCGTGTCCTGGAGAGTACCTACCGTTAAAACGGAACTGTCAGTTTGTAGGTCATATCTATAACATGCCATTCTTCATTAATTTGCTTTAAAGCAAAATTAAAATACGCAATGAGACTCACAACAAACTGTTATCGATACATAGTGTACATTTCAGTCGTAAATCCCGGGTATTTTAGTTACATTTATTTATTAATATATTTTAGTATTCGCTATAATATTTTTAAACGTAAATAATAACATTTCCAAACTAAAATATTTAATTATAACAGCTCTTTCACAAGACACATAATCAATCACAATAAAAATATAATAAAAATCAACAATCACCTCCATTAGGCTAACTAATCTAGTTGTAAAATCCTTTAAAGTTATTTCACCTTATGTAAAAAGATACTATAAAAACATCCAATTTTATAAAGAAACAGTTTTTTTTATTTTATACTAGTAACTTCTTATTCTAATTAGCTCTTGTGTGATTTTCATCTGGAACACGCATGTATGTAGGTTCCTACTACTTGGGGTATGTAATATATGTATAGAGTCACGTACCGGGTGGGTAATTTTTGTAAATAATTGATAATTTAAACGTTTTTAGTAGACGTAATTACAAACATAATATGTATATATAGGAACATTATTACTATAGAATCAATCTTATGTTTAAGCATAAAGGTAAGTTCGGATTAATAAAAACACAACAGCTAAATAAAATTCAAAGGCTGTAAGTAGTGGCCGAATGATTTTAATGACGAATAAGTATTTTGTAATACTACGTGATCCACAACTTAGGTATGACTGTATGAGTCATTAGATATTTTACATCCTCTAGCCTGCAACCCAAAATAATACAAAAAATGGCTACCTGCTCACATTTGGGTACAATACGGATAGTAAGACGCTGATCTTTGCGATTATCCTAAATTTAAGCCAAAAGAAAATGTCCGCAGTTGGTGGACGTCGCGTCGATCAATATTTTGTCAAATGTAACACGGAAGTTTGCGTCCCAGTAATATACCGCTCAAATTTGAAAAACATAATCGCGCAACAAACTTTTTTGTCTAGCGCTCGCGATTTATCGTCCCTCAAAAACATAATTGATCGCCGAAAAATACTGGAAAGGTGTGTTTACTGTGATTCATACGGGTGAGCCCCCTGAAGGGGAGTTTATCCATTTTTATATTTACACCATAGCCCTCGCGGCATGCGCGGCGCGTCTTCGCCAGTCTCGTTACTACAGTTTCACGTACGTACACCAGTGCAATCTCAGTGATGTAAATATAACACTTACAATAATATTTACTCGTGAATTATTGTTTTGATGCGACAAATAGTGGGAAGGACTGATATAGTGATAAACTAGTGAGAAAAGTTATGGTGTTTGTGTGAGGAAACAATTGGTTTCTTAGATTGTTTCATTTCGATCGGAGTCGTATCTACTCGAGGACATGCTTCTTTCTAATGTATTTCAGGAAGCGTTTCAGCAAGGAACTTTTTGTTCTCATAATTCACGCTAGAGGTCAGTACTTCGTTAAAAACTAGAAACCAGTACGTTTTAATTATATATATATAGGCAAATTCAATTTATATATATATAACTTGTACAAATATGTATTAAGGGTTAATGTACCTACTCTGCTCTTCCCTTTGCATCCCTTCTGCGCCCTTTACGCATGATCGACCGGTGGGTTTAGGGGGTTCATTGTAAGTAGGGTGCGAGAATTACAGTACGTGGTTTAAAATATGAATATTTTATTTTAGAACTTAAGAGTTACTTTGTAAAGATTTTTATACTGTATTTTTTTATTATTGTGATTAAAATATAGTTGTATCCCTGTTATATTCAACCCTTTTTATATTCTAAAAGCGAATATTTAAAAAATATTGATTACTACATACTTATAATTTAATTGTAGTATCACCTTTCTTATTTCCTTCAATAATACTATATTATTATTAAAATCGCATCTAATATGGTTCAGCCCGCTACCAAATGCGATACCTATGTAAACTAACAGAACATTCTCGGTAGAGTACGGTAGACCACATAAATTTTAACATTTCATTTAATTTTATTTATTGTATAGGCACACAGTTTAACTATGTAGGTATATAAAATTTTCAATATTTAAGAATGTTAAAATCTTTAGTATAAGGTTGAAAAATAATTATAAGTAAATACCTACTCAGAACAAGAATAATTTACTATTCAGTATCTACAAATCTAATCTAATCAAACCAATAAAACTTATCCCTAAATCGATTGCGTTACGCCAATGTACGACAATATTTTGTAGATTTTTATTGATAAATCTTGAGTAGAGCGAAAAGCTATTGGTGCGTCTAATGTCTATGCAGATAGATTATCCATTTATAGAGCAAGCAAGACATACCGAACGACATCGGACATGTTTGTTTTCATACCGGTCCGAATTAACGTCGCGATTGGTTCAAAATCCATAACTGGCCTCCGAGAGCCAGGTGTCGTTCACACCGCGGCCTCGCGCGCCTCGTCTCGTAACTCGTTAATCACTCGTGTTCGGTATTGTTATAGCGCGTCGTACAGCCATCTTTGTCAAATTACGGGCGATTCATTAAATTAATTTCGTTTCCCCTATCAAATGGAACAAAACACAGATAGTGTAACTGACGCGACGCGTTGTGGAATCGGGAACATTACAACATTCTCTTTTGTTTTATCGCCGACAATGCTTTGTTGAATGGAAGCGTAACAACGTATACGGCATTAACGATCAGTCAACCATTAAAATGATGGATGATGTTGTTCTTTATAAAAACTGTGTGAAGTGCTCTATTTTGTGAATAATGTAAACGGTGTTTTAGTGTTTATGTTTTGGCGTGTTAGTGATCAAAACTGCGTCTTAATTGTCGTACACATTGCATAAATGAGTGGAATGGCGTTGCGGAGCGCGCGGGCCCGAGCATGCGCGCCAGTTTCCTTGCTATTGCTGGGAACCCACTGAAATGTCCTTAGTTTACGTGCATATCAAAATGGGAAGGTCCAGGTTCCCAGGGAAACCCCTTAAATTCCATAACAGAAAACGCATAAGTGTTTTGTCGGGGACTGTTTACCACGAGAATACTGTTGATAATCATGCAGGCAGCCGTAGTTCAACCACTAATGACTTTTCGGGGGAGAAAGAGGTACAACGCAATTATCTTTAATTTGCTCATATTTTATTATAATTGTTTCAAACATATGTTTGATCATATTGTTTACGTAATAACTCGACTACTATGAAGCGTCAATCACAGAGTATCAATATTTGACAAACATAGAAAATAAGCAACATTAAATTCTTAAACAGGTCAAGGACTGTAAAGAAACAATAATTGAAATTTAGTTGTTATCTTGTTTTTAGCAGAGCTTTTAATTAACTACAAAATGTAAATGTATTAGAAAGATAACCTTACTTTTGAACACAAAAGAATTATTCAGCCTTGTCAAAAATTAAAACATCTGTTCATTCTATTACTAAAAAGAGATATTATACTGTACACACATTTCATGGTTTATGTTTCATGTAGTACTGAAGATCTATAAGAAGTTAACTCAGTAGCTTTTATCAAACTACTTGTGTATTGTTATATGTATTTTTATTTGATATGAATTTTCTTGTAGTTGGGAGAGGTACACAGCTTTGGCCTATTATTGTATCTTCAAATTTTACATTAAAATGATAAAACTATTAAAAAGCTGTTGGTATTGCTTAATTTTGACCCATATAGAAAATATACAGTACCTGAACACTGGATCTGAAATCAGTTGCATTCCACATACCTATGAAATTTAAACCAATAATAATAATATATATTGTATTTCAATAGAATGTAGGTAAATAATTACCAAATTGATAATGAATATGTCTATGTAGTATAGTGACATGTATCCGATGTTCCATGAGTTTTATTTTATATAACTATTTGATGCTTATTGAAGTAAATAAATGTATAATTGGTTGTCATTTCTGAACATTAAATGTATCTTTGATATAAGTTCTCTATAGGTATCTCCACGTCCATTATCATCTTTACACTATGTAGTTTAGACAAAAATAGTAATTGCACAAACCAATATTTGAAAATCTATTACAGTAGTTTGCTGTTCTAGATCACACTATCAAAGCCATAGAAATTGTCAATAGTCTAGTTCATTTAGTGGTTTTCATACTCACTTGATTTATAAGATAACTTATATTTATTAACATATATGCATATAATTGATTTTCATTGTATATATATGTACTTTAAAAATTAGCTTGTTTAATAAGGTGTTGTTATTTTTTATATATAAATCTATTTCAGGAAGAAGAGAAGAAAGAAAGTAATAATGATAAAGAGGCAAATTCAGAGAGTTGTGGAAATAAAGATAGCCCTTTGAGTGAAAAAGAAGAAACCGCAGAGAGTAGTAGTGATCCATCCAAATCTCCAGTTAGAACTAGGTCACAAAATAAAATGGAGCCTCCAAAAGGAGACAAACCTAAACTAGTGAAAAAGACTGTTACTTTTGGCACTGTGGAGAGTTGCGAGGATATTTTGCTGCCTCTCAAAAAAATACCAAAATATCATGCTCCTCTTATTTCAATTATAAAAAAGAAGTCTGCATTTAGACAATCGGACCAAACATTTAACAGCATTTTGAAACCAGCAAAATTAACTGATCTGAGTTCAAAATCTTCATTAGAATATCATGAAGGCTATTTAAAGAAGAACTTGAATCCACTTTCAAAGTCTACAAACAAATTTTCACAGTTCAGTGAAAATCGGTGCATGTCACCTCCACCAAGAATCAATTCACCAGTAGAGAAAGAAAGTCTGGGATCAGTTAAGTTTTTGCCAGTCAAAAGTAGTCATTCTTCAAGAGTTATAAAACCAAATAAAAGGTTTATTGATGGTGAAGACCAAACTTCAATATCAAGCAGCTTGAGTTCAGGAAAGGTTTTAAAGAAACCAAAACTAAAGAGGCTAGTTTTTAATAATTTACATGATGATGATTCACCACAAGATGAAGAGCCAGATAAAAATGAAAATCAACCTTTATCAACTGGTATTTTTAAAGATAAATCAACAAATTCATTTTCTGGTCTCACAACTTCCCGAAAGGCCACTCATGATTTATTTTCAAATGAAAAAGAATCTGAACTTCTACAGGATGAGAATTCAAATATTAATGATAAAATAAAGTCGCCAGAGGCGAATAAAGAAGAAAGAACAGGAAATTCTATGAGGAGACTCATGGACTTATCTGATGCAAGTAGTTCTAGCCACTCAAGTAGTGGTTCAGAGTCAGAAGATAGTTGGGAAAGTGAGAGTCCCAGGAACAGTGGTGATGAGGAAGAAAAGCCTTTAGTCAGCCCTGAAAAAGATAAATCAGCCTCTCAATTGTTGAGTGGCAAAGTCATTATAAGGGAGGCTCGGTTACAGCTAACAACTACACCACCAACATCTGGTCTAGATGGACCCTTTTCAGCTGTGGCCCCAACATCATGTAAGTAAAGTTAACTAAAATAACACACAATAATATTGTAATATGTATATGTATAATATATACAAATTTTCTTTAGTGTTTAGTATTAAAGTTAGGACTAAATAAATGACTGCATGTTTTGTTATTCTTATAACTTAAATCATCATTAATCTTATTAATTTTTAGCAACTAATCCTCCAACAACAGTTACATGTGGAGTGTGTGGGGCTGTGAGGTTCTACAAATTTGTAAAACAAGCTAGAAAATTTGGAATTTATTCATGTGAATCCTGCCGTAAATTTGTCTCCAAATTGCTTAAAAAGGATAGAATGGCATTGCGGACATCACCACTTGTCCTGCATTGTGAAAGAGGAGAAGGTATGATTGTATTATATTTAAAATAATATTCAATGTAGTAATCTCAAATACATAGGGAGTTCCATTTCTTAGAAAACTCCAAGTATCTAATAAGTTTAAAAAAACAAAGTTTAACAGATTAGGTTTTAATTGATGTTCTAGAATATGGGTTATAACCTGCCTATCCAATTTTGATGGGTTGAATGGATTATAGTCTAACTCTATAATACTTTCTTTGAGCTTTTCTACCTGTTGATTCCAAGAAAAACAAATGTTTGCAACTAAATAGTTTTCTTTATCATTAAGTAGATTCTTAAATAGTATTTAAAAGTAAATGTTTATATTCTTACATTCTCAGGTAACTGTCAAGTTCCACCAGTTCTCCGCTCTCAACAGTGGAAATTATTTAAATGTTCTAACAAGGCAAGGTGTCCAGCTTGCTGGCTTAAGCTATGTTTGAAAGCTTTCCAAGTGCCTACAGATAAGAAAGCGATCCTAATGTCTATGTTGCCATCTTACATGAAGCCTGGTGCTAAACCAAATACTCTAACACCTAAACCGACTAGCAATTCTGCATTGACAACTCCATCACCATTGTTTAGTGGATTATCTGCAAATGAAAATGAGAGCAATATCTTTGCTGTCAAATCTAAGAAGGCTGATGGATTAGAGGTATGTACAATAATAATTAATCCATAAATATGTATGTGAGTTTGTCAATTTTTCTGGTTTTCATATCACAAAGGATTATCATAAAATTTCACTTAGTGGTAGTTAAAGAGTTACAAAATAAAAGTACTTTTTACCCTGGATAAATTTGGTATTTCCTTCTCGGATCTTGTAGTACTGGTGTAGCTAATCAAATGTAATTGGTGCTATGTTACATTTTTGTAGGGCATTAATAGTAAACACATTCCTGCATCTGTTTTATTCATTTATTTTTATTATTTTGTTTTGAATCATATAATAATCTTGAAAAACAATATATGTTCAACAAACTAAGCTGTATGTGCATAACAATACCTTTTTCTCATTACAGGAGGAAGTCAAAACGCATAATGAAAAACAAGATGAAAAAGAATCAAACAGCAATAGAAAGCGTCGTCTGGCCAAAGTTAAAGTTCGTAAGAAAGATAAAAGTGATTCAAAGCTTATAGAAGATCCAAAACGACAGAAAATGGAATTAAAGGGACCCCGAGTTAAACATGTGTGTCGGAGTGCATCTATAGTCCTTGGCCAGCCTATTGCAACATTCCCCACCCAAGAAGAAAAGGACAAGGATAAGCCAACTCTATCAGATGATACTGTCTCTATGGCAACAGAAAAAGATAGAGCTACCCCAGAAATGAGTGAATCTGAAGATACTGAGAACAAATTGCAAATTGTTCCAGAAGTAACTAAGGTAGATCACGAAGTAATAGAGCCTAAGAAAAGAAAGGTTGAACCTACTGTACCAAAAGCTAAAATTGAATCCAGCGAAGATGAAACTGTTCTTGATCTTATTCCAAAGAAATCTACCTACAAACCACTAACAAACATAAGCAATGTAAGTATTTACATTTAAAAAATATTATTATTGAAACTTTTTTACATATATCTATAATGAAAATATCCTAACATTGCCAAATTTAACCCAACAAGTTTAAAAGAGGCTTTTTCATGTGAAATTTATTTTATATTGAATTTTAAAAAATAGTAATAAATAAAAGTATACTATTGTTACATGTTAAGAAGCCTTCTACAGAAGTGTTATTATTGTCTTTGATTAACATAACTTTTATTCATTTAATAAAACACTATTTTGACCGGATTGAAGTTATGTATTATTATAAATTTACAACTATTTAACATAATTTTAAATTTATCCGACGTTTCGCGTGCTTTACAGCGTGCGTGGTCACGGTGAACGCGAAACGTCGGATAAATTTAAAATTATGTTAAATAGTTGTAAATTTATAATAATACATAACTTCAATCCGGTCAAAATAGTGTTTTATTAAGTGTTATTATTATTTACTTTGAATTTTCAGTTGCGAGGAAGATCACAGAAATGTGGTCAAAATAGGCCTGAGCTAATTTGTGTTGATTTCTGGGAGAGTTATGATCCTGACGAAGTGTGTAATTCTGGATTTGGACTGATTGGTACTGCACCATTTACCATTGCTAAATTGTGCTTCCTGTGTGGTAGTGCTGGACAAGAGAAGGTAATCTTTTCAACTTTTTTATAGTTCTATACCTGAATATGTATTACATTTAAGTACATGTAAATGTAGAAAATGTATTACATTTTGAGTGACCTGTCAAAAGTTCTATTATTTGTTAGTACCTGTAGTAGTTAGTTAATTTCTTGTATTTTTTATTATGTAATTTTGTTTTTTCTAATTAATTTCTCATGTTTGTTTTTTTTGTTTCGTCTGTAAATTTTATTCACTTATTGTGCACTCCTATCCATTAAGGATCACCTGTTAAGTCAGAAGTGTTTTTATAAGTAATTGAATTTATGATATTATTTTGCTTAATTTTATCTATTAGTTTAATTATCATTAGATGTTGTAAATAAGTATATAAAAAAGCTGTGTCCATTTCCTTTACAATTTCAGTTTGAAAATCAATATTTAACATATCTTTTAGCTTGTCATATATATGTCACACAACCGAAGTTTTTTCGTGAAACACTTTTAGTTTTAATTATTCCTGATAGGGTATTCCTTTTACTAACCAATTTATAAGCAGCAGTCTTCCCAAGGAAATAAAACCTATAAGCTAACAAATTGATCCTCCAATTCTGATTTACTTCCAAAACAAAAAATTTAAGTTGTAATAATTGAATAATTCAGATGTTGGTATGTTCGTCGTGCTGCGAATGGTACCACGGGTGGTGCGCAGAGGGTTCCGGAGGTGGAGCAGCGTGGACGTGCGCGCGGTGCGTGTGGTGTGCAGCGTGCGCTCGTCCGTCCGCGCGCGTCTCGTGTCGTGTTTGCGCCCGCCCTTACCACGCGGCTTGCCTACCACCCGCACCGCCGGACCACAGGAGCGACTGGCCACAGGTAGAGAAGACGGCTTTAGGCTGATGGGATCCCGTTGACATTCGGCTAATACATCAAGATGTATGATTTCCGTACTGGCGTATCGACGACTGGTGTGCGCTTGTGGCGTTTTTACTTTTCAAAGGCTCTGCGACGATAAACGCTTTCCATCGCCGTGAAACTAACAGCAGTGATTTGCGCGTTGCCAGATTCCGTTACCACTTTTTAGCTAAAAATGTGTTGAATTTGCTACATTAACTAATCCTAAATTTACAGATATGTAGCGCATGTCTGAAATGCAAGAGTTGTGACAGCAGCCGCGTTAACAAGTTTGTGGGAAGTCTACCGTTCTGCCGGCCTTGCTTCAAATTACGGCAAAAGGGCAATTACTGTCCCCTATGCCAAGCATGCTATAGGGATAATGACTTTGATAGTAAGGTAAGATATCTTATTTAGAAAATTTTATTAAATTCTTTACACACATTTAAAAAAAAGGTGCTAATATGTTATTTATTTGTTGTAAAATGTTAAATAATATATATATGTACAGAGATTGGCAAGCTAGTTAGCATGTTAACTTTAAATTTTTCTTTAGATCAGTCTTTATTTGTCCACCTTATATGTATATCTTTCTAAACATACATTTGGGATTTTCAGATGATGGAATGTGGCTGGTGTGCAAGATGGGTCCATGCAAGCTGTGAGGGTCTCTCAGGCGAAGGATACCAGCTTCTGTCAGCATTGCCACCATCTATCGAGTATATTTGCTGTAAATGCATGCCTCACGATCCGCCGTGGCGGAAAATGTTAACGGAACATTTAAAAGGAAGACTTTTACATCTCTTAAAACTCCTCGCCAAAAACAAAAAAGCTTGCGCTCTGTTGAAACTCACTCCTCACAAAAATACTCCAGTACCCAACAAACCTTATCGGCTCACCTCTCCTCAAGCAATACGAAAGTTACATTTCGACACTGGAGATGAAACTATGAACAATACAACGGAGACAAAGGTTTACCGAAATACTGCAAAGGGTCGTCGAAGTACACAAAAAACGGACGAACTCGCTCTATCTCAATCGTGGCAATGCCCTTTAATACATGATGTTGAAATGGAAAAAGAGGAAATGCCACATCCATCGCATAAGGTCGTAAACCTTCAGGAACCATTAATGCAAAACAAAGAAATTTGCTTCTCAACCGGCCTCTACAATAAAACTGAATTCAATGCATCATGCGTGGAAGTTCATGAAAATAATCCATCGGATAAACAAGAAAAGGCAGTTGCTATGTCGCCCTCCTTGTTGGATAAATATGAACCGATTTCTGATGATGATGAAATTGTTGATAGATTTCCACAAGCCCGCAGTGAACAAGATCTGAGTCCTAAAATAATTCGTCACATGAATCAAGATGAGGATATGGAAGACATGAGCAGACTTATTTCACCATCACTGTTGGATATAAAGAAAAGAGTAAATAGCGATGAATATATATCTCTCAAGGATTTCAATCACGACATGAAAGAAGTAATTGAAAGAACGGCTAGTGTGGATTTAACCTCCATTTATAAGGAACTATTTTCAGAAACATTTCCTTGGTTTAATTGTGATAACAACTGTCTCCAACCAAATCTAGAAGTTGAAGGAGAACAAGAAGATTCAGACTCATTAAAAGACCAAGAAATGTCTGATAACAAAGGTGTAAGAAACACTGTGCAGTCCATTGAGAAGCCTTTGGACCAGATAGTACCCAAATTAGAAGAAAAACAAAAAGAAGAAGAAGATTTATTGGAGTTTTATCCTATACTTGACTCGAGAATATGCATATTATGCAAATCTACAGGTGATGGGCTACCGGCAATGGAGGGCCGATTGTTATACTGTGGTCAAAACGATTGGATTCATGCTAATTGTGCTTTGTGGTCGGCAGAGGTGTTTGAAGAAATCGACGGTTCCTTGCAAAATGTGCACTCTGCTATTTCCAGGGGCAAAATGATCAAATGCGCTTCTTGCGAAACCAAAGGCGCTAGTGTTGGATGTTGCGCTAAAAATTGTAGTGAAACTTATCATTACGCATGTGCAAGGCGTACTAATTGCGCATTTTTAGACGACAAAAGAGTATTTTGTCCAACTCATGGAAAGGATATACCAAAAAAGAGTCTTCAGAAAGATGCTGACTTCGAACTAACGAGGCCAGTTTACGTAGAATTAGACAAAAAAAAGAAAAGATACAGTGAAATATCTAAAGTGCAATTCTTGATGGGATCTTTATGTGTAAACAGTTTGGGGAAAATAGTGCCATCTGTATCAGACTACGAAGATTTTCTGATGCCAGTAGATTTTTCGTGCACTCGACTTTTCTGGTCATGTAAGAAGCCTACTAAAATTGTCAGATATACGATTAAGACAAAGCTTATACTGGCTGAACCCTTACCTGGGTTTGACTATGGAGTGAATATAACAGTAGACCATACAATGCATGTCCAAGTTGTGGAACGAGTTATGGCTGAAATTGGAGCGTGGCATCACAGCTTAGAGAAAGGGACAACAAAGGTGCTAATGCGGAAAAGTGACAAATCACCAATAAAATTCCGCAATGCTGTAACATTGGAAGATTTAGCCGTTAAGCAGGTGGTCGACTTCTTACTTGATAATGTTTGTAAGCAAGAACAACAGGATGAGGAAGAACCTCAGAATACTGCTGACCTTCTTCCGCCAGAAGTAAAGGATGCCATATTTGAAGACTTAAATCACGATCTCTTGGATGGAATATCAATGCAAGATATTTTCCCGAAATTAATGTCATATGAAGATCTCGTAGCTATGGACTTGAAGAGCGAATTTTATGGAGCAATGAGCCAATCTGATGACAAATCCGATTCACGGTCAACGGATTTTATTGACGAGTTGCTAAATGCTCGTTTAGAGTCTGGGAGTAAAGAACTTAAAAGAAGCAAATCAGAAATGCTTCTACAAAACCATAGTCTTAAGTCCCTGACGACGGGCCGCGGACAGCAAAGGTCGTCATCCCTGACTTGGAATAATAAATTTGATACGAATCTATTATCCTCTACAATAAAAAGATGTAAAATGGGAAAATCATCCACTGTCACTGAAAAAATGGGCCAGGTACAAAGATCGCTACCTGAAAACGCATTAGATACAATTAAAGAAAGTGACAAAAATACTGACAAAAAGACAAAAAGGGAAGCGGTTAATTCTCACGAATTATGTTCTGAAACACCGCATACGTCAGGAATAAATTACAGAACAACATCACCTAAAGAAAAGGATGAAAGTTCTGATAAAAATGATAAAAACGAAGGATATTATACTGATGTAATAGATTTTTACACAAAAATTCAATGCAGCCCAATTTCACAACTCGATGGAGCGGGAGATTGGTCTGGGTCAGATAGTAATTGTAGTTCAAGACCGGGCAGTCCTCAAAGTGACTTTTCACCAATACAACAACTAGATGGCGCCGAAGATCATGGTGATAATATGCACAAAACGCAAACAAACCAATATTTATACAGGGCTTCTGGATCTGAAAGTACATACACTGTGACCATAGCCGGTAACTCTATCAGTGGACAGCCAGAACTGGTTATGCGGCCTTTAGATGACAACTCTGGTTCTGGTCCAATGGAACAGTTGGTGAGATGTGATAGATGCCAGTGCACTTACAGAAACAAAGAATCGTATGACAGACACATCCCATCCTGCGATATGATGTCTACCAGTGAGAGTGAAAGTGAGAATCCAAAATCGCCTGAAAATAGGACTTTAACCACACTACAAAATGCATTCCAGAACGCATTTGCCCAACCCATGATCATTCACGCGGGTGTTGTAAATGGAAGCGAAAATACTGTGAAGGCTGAATCTATATCTACAAGGAGAACCTCGATAAATACACGACAAATCACTATTAATGGTACAATTGTAGAAACACCATCTCCCGGACCTAATAACGAAATGACCATGACCATTACGGAGCAAATGAAATCTGGGACAGTTATATTCGATCAAAGCAAAACAAATGTCCAGGTTTCTTCCAATCAACAAGTGCTTTCATCACCGCAAATCGTTGTTACACCACAGATGTTATTGCCGCCGAAAACAAGCTCCGCTGGGGCACGCTCGCTCATGGGTCCACAAATTATTACTCAACCAGGCCTTCTGCCCTATAACATTTGTGTCAAACCTGGCAATGGAAACCCGAACATACAACAAATCCATAGTGGAGCAGACATGACTCAGCTATTGACTGGGTCAGGAGGCATACAAGTCATATCATCAAATTCTAATCAAGTTCTTACAATTCCTTCTAACCAGATGATACAGGGGAAGAGTCAAATCGCCAACTTTCCAAATATGGCAAGTGCTAGTTCTATCGCTTTGCCAATTAATTCCATTCAAAGTATGCCCAATAGTTCTATTATTCAAAATATTCAGCCTATGATGCGGCCACAAATACAAGGTAATCCTACTATTGTTGTACCTGCTATGACCACGCAACGATTATCTTCTCCCAATTCACAGGTAAAACAACAAATAATGTTATCAGGATCACAGCAAAAGTCTCCTAAGAAGCAATCGGCCCCTGTCCAATCTAAATCAATGTATCAGGCAGCGAATAGAGCGAGAGGTAGAACAATACCAAAACCAGCCAATACCATCAAAAGGCAGACTAAATTGGAAAAAACGATCACGACCATCAACCAATCACCCCTTGGCCCAGGCAATACCGTTATTCAGTTACAAACTAACAACCAGACGGGACAGCCTTCGATAATAGTCCAACCAATGGCAAACCAAAATATCATGTCATACGTGGAAGCTTTATCGCAACAACAAAATCAAAATATGCAATATATAGCCACCATTGCACCGCAAGGAGACTACAAAACTGGAGCGACCCAATTTATATCTCAAGGCAGTCTTATGCCCCAGACATTCCAAATACAACAGACCGAATCAGGAGGACTGGTCGCAGTTCCAAGTGGAGGTATTCCTGTATTGCTACCCCAAGGAAATGTTGTCTTGCCGCAAACTCTACAACAAGGGGCGACCATACTACCCCAAGGAGCAATACAAACCCAAGGAATTATTTCACAGGGTCCAAATGGCCCGACTATACTTCCACAAGCAATTCACACTCAAAACGGCACTACAATAATTCCACAAGGTGCTATTCAAGGCCTCACGCAAGGAAATTTGACATCTCAAGCAACTCTTTTGCCCAATAATACCTTACAAACGACTGGAGCAACTGTCGTCTCACAAAGCGGAATGGGAAATGGCCAGACAACACTAATTCCGAATGCATTAGTTTCCCAAGGCAACACAATCATATCTCCGGGTAACGGGACGACTATACTACCTCAAGGTACAATATTACCACAATTTTGCAATGACCAAGTCATCCTTGGCTCAGCTCCTACTCTAGAAATGGTAACTGATCCATCTGGATGCATGTACTTGACTACCCAGCCTGTCTATTATGGTCTTGAAACTATAGTTCAAAATACTGTAATGTCATCACAACAGTTTGTCTCTACGGCTATGCAAGGAGTACTGGCTCAAAACAGTAGCTTTTCAGCAACGACAACACAAGTCTTCCAAGCCAGTAAGATAGAGCCGATTGTGGAAGTTCCGACTGGTTATGTCGTCGTCAACAGTGTCGGAGAAGGTGTAGCTGCGCAAGTAGCATCATCGGCGGCCAATGTTGTCACCGGTCAATCTGTGCAATCGGGTCCGCAAATAATCAAAAATGTCAAAACTACAGTGCCTAATTTGACGCTACAACCTCTTCCAGATAAACATTCTCTTAACAGACAAACTCAAAAAGTTTTGCAAATGGGTCCAACGCAAATGACCTTAGGACCTCAATCCATGGCAAACCTTATAAGTGGGAAACATACTATGAACCCTATTACATCCCAAGTTCACAATATGACGTTGGCAAATAATGTGCAGAATATTCAAAAAGCAATCATTTCTAGGCAAAATAATGTGTCGATGTCTCCAAATGTCACACTAGTTTCATCGACTGGACAACCAGTTATGGCAATATCTCAATCCATTCCAAATTCAGTTTCTGTTCCATTCTCTATGCAGTCGATACCGTTATCGCAACCTATTGTATCCAGTTCGATATCATCGAATAAAAATAATTCGATGAAAATTGAAAATTCTCATGTGATTGAAATCAGTGGAACCTTAAATGACAACTCTAACTGCAACAGTATGCCAACTATAAGCGTTACTCACAGTACAAAATCACCTACCCCATGGAGACAAATCAATCCCCCAACCAGCATTCATATGGGGGACAATAAAATTGAGGTCCATAACATAGGATTAAAGACAAATGCTGCTACATCTATGGCATCCAACATGAATAGCGGAATCAATGGACGTCAAAATATGTCTCATGATAACGATAAGCTTAACCAGAATTGCTTGCTATCTATTAATGGCAATACAATGTCGGGATCTTTGCATTCCCATCAATTTGAAGGAAATGCACATAACAATCATTCGTCAATAAACACCTCTAACAATATGATTCAAATAAATTCAGGAAATATATATTCGCCAGCATGTTCCCTATCAAATAACTTCGACGCTGACACCACATTGAAATTGAGTAAAATAAATGCATTGTCTAAAACGGAAGGAGGTCATATGAACTTTTCTCAAGAAATTATGGCAGCTCACTCTCAACAGCACATTCAAAACGAAAAGGCTTTTCAAAATATGGGAAACAATGACAATAACAAACACAATACTGAGAGCATGCTCGGCTCTATGAGTATTCACAAGATGAGTAGTTGTCAGGTTTCTAACAATATGAACAATTCAACGCCATCTATAAGTATTATTCCTCATAATACCATACGACCTCAAACTCAAACAAATCAAAGTTCAATCAATATTATGAATAATCAAAATCAAATGTGTTCCATGTCTAATGGACAAATGCAGATTATGAATTCAAATAGTTCAATGCAAAATGTAAATACATCTTGCCAGGAAATGTCTAGTAATAGAACTAATGCACCAGCTGCTAATGATAATATTCAACAAAATAACCAACAGCATGACATCAATAATCCATCTATGAACAATGCAAACATGCCGCATGGAAATATGCAAATAATTTCACACGATAACCCGCAGCAAATACAACCCAATAATCAGATTCATATTTTGAATGGACAAATTCAACATAGTCGTCAGGGTGAAAATAATCAGCAACACCCACAAATAAATCAAGGCAGTGGCAATAGATCGTATCACGATAATTTTATGACTAATCAATCAAATCAACATCCATCAAATATGATGACTTCACGAAGTTCACCAGAAAATAATAATTTAATGAATCAAAATATAAATAATATGCATAGTATGCCTAATTCTCACAACATAAATCGAGCTGACTTGAATAATATTAATCAAATTCATATGAACCAATCACTAAATAACATCAATAATTTACAAAATAACAGGATGGTTATGGATAATATGCAGCAACATTCATTGAACAATTTAAATAGTATAAATCAGATGCATTCTAACAGAACGATGGAGACACTTCATAATCAGCAAATGCATTCAATGCAGCAACAAATGAGTCATCATACAGTACAGAACAGTAATACCAGATCCCAAATGGATCCTAATATGCATATGAATCAACCAATGTCAATGCAACAAACTAGACAAATGGAAAATATTCACCACCATCAACATCAAATGCCTAATGTTATGCAAATTTCAAACAATCGGACGCATATGGAAAACAATCTTATTGATATGCATCAACATGTTCCCAATCAAATGCATAACAGACAGCAAATTGACAATAACATGCATATGCATCACATGGCCGGAAATAATCCAAACATGAATCTTGGTAACCAAATCGATAACACTCCTATGTCTATTCATAACATTCGTCATGAAAACAATACAATAAACATGCAGAACCACAACTCTTTGAATCAAATCCAGAATAATAGAGCATCTTTAGATCACTCTAATATGATGCAACACCAGATTAATACTATGAACTCTGTAAACAACATTAATATGCATGGCAACCTTAACAGTTCTATGCAAATGAATAATTCCAGTCATCAACAAATGAACAACTCGATTTTACACATGCCTAATATTCCAGACATTAAAAATGAGATTCAAAATGCTTGTGCAAATACTTGTTCCAATGGCAGTTCACAGTTTAGTACTAATCAGTCATTTGAAATGTGCCCAAATATGAATTCAAATAATATCAACCTTAATAATTCTGGAAATATGATGCATAATAACATGGGAATGAATAATACAAATAATATGTCAAATAACATGATGATGGGCAATGTAACAAACAATTCAATTTATGGAAACAATAACCAAAGTAATGTATCGGCGCATGAGTTGTTGATGAGTTGCAATAATTCCTCAGATAATATAAATCTTATGTCCAGTAATACCAATCATATGATGATGAGTAGCAACGCCCCACATAATAATAATAACTCAAACCAGATGATGGGAAATCAAGTGCCGAGCAATACTCAGATAAATATAAGTAGTTGTATGAATCCGAACAATACAGCTCAGAATCAGTTATTAAGTTTAGATAGTCAAATAAATGGTAGTAGAAATATGGCAATAAATGAGTCACCTAAATTCCCCGGAGATGCATTGAGAGGTAAAAATATAATGGGATCAATAAATACTAATATGACGATATCAAACCTTCCTGAAAATGACTGCAGTAAAGTAAATATTGGTGGTGGTAACGAAAAGCAAAACCATGCTATATCGGTTAATAATCAGATGAACTATATGCAAATGAATCCTTCAAATAACAATAGAATCATAAACTTACCAGAAAGAAACCGAATGAGTAATGCCAATTTAGAAAGTAACATGAATCAAATATCGCAACAACATAATATTCGTGTGGTCACTAATAACTCCAACAGCAATGTATCTAACGTTACACCGGATCCTTTGTCATTCCAGCAAAAAACAGAGGCAAACAGTACAATGATAAACGTTCCCTTCCAAGCAATACCTAACAGTGCCCCAATGAATATTAACGTCAACTCCAGTAATAACACAGTCAATATTACTGTGCAAAACAATCTGGTAGATCCTAAGATTGCTTCTAAAGCAGCTGATTTGAATTTCCCACTCCCCACTACCACTAACTTATTGCAAAACCAAAACAGTGCTAATAGTATGATTTGTATACCCGTTCAAAATAATACAATCAACTTACCAACTCAAAATAGCTCCAGTATTACATTGCCTAAAGCTCCTCCTACTCAACAGTCTGGTATACCAACTAATGTCGTAAATCCGATGTCTATGAGACCCATGAATAGGGTGCTGCCTTTACATAGAGATGGACAGAGTAAATGTAAATCCGTGGGCGTCAAATCGACAACGGTGCCCAAGCAACGAACCGTTAGTCATGATATGCCAGATTTGAATGTAAAAGATGAAAACATTGATAGTGACTTGGAAAAAGCAATCGAGGAATCGAAGCGAATGATGGAACTAGAGAAGGCAAAAAGGGAAAAAGAACAGCTAGATGCGTTGAGAGCTTTACAGATGTCGACTGAAACACCTCAAGCAAACACCAGTATGGCATTAGTGAATCCACCGCCTGGAAGAACTAACGAACGAGTTGAAACTATTACAAAAATGACATCACTTCCAAGTTTGGATGCTGAGATTGAACATGAGCATTCGAAAGTTTTAATTGAAAAAGATATAAATAAATCTCCAACTATACTTGCCAAATCAATACCTCAAAAGATTATGAAGCGACCTCTCGGTGACAAAAAGTCGGATACGGAAGTTACAGTGTCGAAGAAACATAACAGGGTTTATAAGGGACAAGAAAACAAACCGTTGTTGCCGAAGCCAACCCCTGAACCATCTAAAGATGATGGCCCTAAACTAATATATGAAGTGACGTCAGAGGATGGCTTTAACTACAGCTCGTCATCCTTATCAGATTTGTGGTCTAAAGTAATTGAAGCTGTACAAAACACCAGAAAGGAGTGTGGATTGCCTCTTATGCAATACAACCTACCATCAACACTTTCCGGCGCTCACTTACTTGGACTTAACAACAATGCATTGAGATATCTAATTGAACAACTACCAGGCGTAAGTAAAAATTATTTTATTCTATAAAAATGGCAATCTCCCTCCGAAATTTATATTAATAAATAAGTTCTTACCCCTATAGTGAATGTTTAAGAAAACCTCGTTATTTAATAAAACACTATTTTGACCGGATTGAAGTTATGTATTATTATAAATTTACAACTATTTAACATAATTTTAAATTTATCCGACGTTTCGCGTGCTTTACAGCGTGCGTGACCTAAGAAATTGAAACGTATTTACCTAAAAAACAAATGTTTTTTTTTGCATTAATGAAGTTATATCACCTATTAGGCTAATCGCTGCACGAAGTACAAGATCCGTCAAGGGCGCGCACTAAACAGTTGGGACAATGATTTGGACCTCAGTGAAGGTTTTAAAGAAAGTCCATGGGGTAGTGCCCGAACGGGACCCATCGCAAGAAAACAGAACCACGATATCTTTAGCTGGATGGCTTCACCCTTTAGAGAGGAACCACCGCCATTTGGTGGGCAAGAGGGGGAGAACTCTATTTCAAGGTAATTAATATGTAATATCGATGTAATATCTTCACTCGATCGCGTCAATGGTCTGAATTATTGGCACTATATCTTCAATTAGTATATATATATATGTACATACAATAAGGGAGCGTTCAAGTATTACGTAACGAATTTGGGGAGAGGGGAGGGGGGTCCTTTTGTAAAACGTTACGATGCGGGGCGGGGATTGAATTACGCGTTATTGTTAATATTATTTTCGACTTTCCAGTACTTTACAGCACATAAATCCAAAAATTGCGTGACGTAATACTCGAACGCTCCCTAAGACATATGTCTCTATTATTTTTTCTTGGAAGTCTTGGAATCTATAATTGTTTTGTATTATTATGCAACGAATATAAATTAATAAATATTAAACTTCCAATTGATATATTTGTATACTTTTATTTATTCATGAATTATTTTGCAGACGTTTGGCAACTCTCCCGCCAGCAATGAGATTTAGACAACTAAAAGAGACTTCGAAAGCATCAGTAGGGGTATATCGATCGCATATTCATGGACGAGGGCTTTTCTGCAAGCGTGATATTGAAGAAGGTGAGAATTTCGTATTTAGATTTATTTGATTTTTTACTAATGTATTATCTGCAAGAATAATGCGACAATATGTATACATATTTTTTTTGTACAAACAATGGTGTTCTTTCAGGTGATATGGTAATCGAATATGCGGGTGAAGTTATACGTGCCGTATTAGCAGACCAGCGCGAGAAGAAATACGAAGCGACGAGTGGGCGACGAGGCGTCGGCGGCTGCTACATGTTCCGTATCGACGATAACCTCGTAGTCGACGCCACGCTCAAAGGCAACGCGGCGCGGTTCATCAACCACTCCTGTGATGTGAGTACTGTGCTATATCAATTTTAATGCAGTTTTGCTATCGAATATTTTTATTATTATCAATACACCAAACACCAATACTATAATATATATATTATAGGTCGATTACTTTTCAAATTTTACTGCTATCTGCCGATGTTGTAATCGGAACAAAAAAAACTATCTTACTTATGTAAAAGACGAACACTTCAATGCAACTTCTTTCATTTGTGTGAATGTGAAAAAATTCAATTAAAAGACTGCCTAACATAATAATAGTAATTAACAATTCAAGTCTGGGGTCCAACATTTTTCGTGGCGGTTTTCTCCTTTTTGCGTCATATTATTTGATATAACCATCGTATTTTTACTTAACAGCATTAAAATAGCAAAAACTTATGATATATTTTGAAACAACTTGGGCATCATAATTATAATACCATACCTAAATTATATCTATAAATTGAACTTGTCTAGACGTAATTTACTCTGCTACCGTCAAACTGATCCTGTTAAGACTAAATTGAAATGATTTATTTCAGCCAAACTGCTATTCCCGTGTAGTGGACATCCACGGCCATAAACACATCCTTATCTTCGCGTTACGTCGCATCACCGTTGGCGAAGAACTAACCTATGACTACAAATTTCCCTTCGAAGAAGTGAAGATACCTTGCACGTGTGGAGCTAAAAAATGTCGCAAGTATCTCAATTAAATAATAAAAATAGACTTTTGTGAATAATTATGTCAATTAAGAAGCGAGCAAAACGCCCATCAAGTGTTCCGTCCCACGGGCAAAGGAACCAAACGGCAACTAATGAAATAGACATAGAATAGCCTGTACGATGATTAGTTTTCTTTTCCACTAGCATAATTTATGGAAGTACATAAATTAGACTATATTTTGATAATGTCGGACGATTTAGCTTAGATCGGATTTGGCGAGTGAAAAGTAAGGAAATGCTGGGTCGAGCACAAAGTGTAGTATATGACAATAAGTCCAGACGACATATCGTTTCCCACCTTTGACATTGTGCCAGACACATTTACATGAATCTTGTTATGATCTCTATATTGAATCTGCCCAGTGTTTAGAGTTGTTGGATTGTATATTTTATTGGTTTAGAAATTAATATTTTGTGATAAGTTTTAGATATTTTTGTAAATATTTTTATGTTGTATCATTTCCGGCTCGAAGGCCAGGTACATTAAGGTTGTTGTGATATGTGACGAATGTAAGGGCATAGTGTATAGGTATCGTATTTGTTCCTCATTTGTTCTTATCCTTGTGATCAGTTAAGTCTCGAAATCGTATCTCGTGTACATACTAGATGACGGATAGATATAAATACCGGTACATTCGAAGGGTAGTTTCGAGTACAATGTTACATTTTAGTAATTTTTTTAAGTATTGTATAGAGAATGTACATAAGAGAATTATTTGTCATAATAACGTGGTTAAGCGACAAATCGTTTTATCGTAGTCATAGCGGTAGGGTACTTTATGTAATTTAATGTATTGTACATATAAGTTATTCGGTGTGTGGGTTCGCTGGATGAGAGAAGTACATCCGATGCACGTATTAACGTGAATGCACATTATTAGCTTTAATACTTTCAGCACAGCTTGGGTTATACCTGATTTATTTCATTAAATTGTTTTTTTACGGAATCCAAGAATAGTCCGAAAGTAGAATACACACATCACATTGTCATCACATTGTTAAAATAGATTTGAATTTAATTCAGGGGCAGGCGTTATATACATTTTTTTTTATTTACTGCATCCCACGAGCAGTATTAATATATAACGTATTTTATGAAGTCAATAGATCAGATAGTTTTAGTGTTTACGATATTTGTACAGCCTAAATGCTCTTCACGTTCAATAATTCAGCTATTGTGTTAATATTTAAATATAACGTATGTTTTCAACGCTTTATTACAATATTCGGACACAATTTAATTAAAACAGACCAGTGATAAAACGAAATCTTTTGAGTTTCAAGATATTGAAGGGAAAACGGAGCCCTAAGTTGTCCGAATATTTAAAGCATAAGTTGTTTACGCGATATACATATATTATGCTTTTAGCGTTGAATTATAAACATTGTTCTCCGTCATACTTTGATCTGAAAATGGAATTTCTGCGGTGGTCAAAATATAAAAACAGTCAAAATTGTAACTTCATATTATATAAACGCCACTATTCACATGATGCTAATAAACAAAATTTAAACTTAAGAGTATGAGGTTTTTGACCACCCCAAAAATTTGAGGTTGGTTGTTCATAAAAAGTAACCAGACAAAATCATTCCTGTATTTCGAAGTGAACACAATTTGTACTCAAAAGTACATATTTTGTGAACAGCCATCCTTAGCAATTGTCCGATAACTAGTCCTTGTAGAATTTGTGATTTAGTTTCAAACCTAGCCATAAAATAGTTGATTGTAATTTTAAAATTTTCTCTACATTTTATACATGGTTTAGAATTATACATCGACTTATGGATAATAATAAAAAAGTACAGATAAATTTATCGATTAGTTATCATAATTTTAATTTCATATTCAAATAATGTTAACATTAATTCTAATTTTGCTGTAATTTTACTTGTTGACCCTGGCAGTGTTGTGAATTTGTGATTTTCGTTTTGTATAAATGATAATATGGGGTAAACTACGCGTCACGTTTAAAATATCTTGTATTTCCATAAATATCAATCATCACATACTTTTCTGCTTAACAATGTCAGGAAAGTAACGTCATAACGGTGGCAAACGCCATTTCCATATTTTATATTGGAAACACCATGTATTAAATTACTAACATTGGTAAATAATTTAATATAATATGTCTTCAAGTTAAATTCCGAATTACAGCCAAAATTGACGCGTAGTTTGTCTTTTTCATGAAATTTGGGCTTTAAGTGATATGTGTTTTGTTAGTTCTATACAAAATGGAGAATGACCAAATCACCAAGTGATAAATGATTTGATTCATTTGTGAACATTCGCTTTTGATATTATTTGATTGCGTTTTGAATATAATGCTTTTATTTTATGTGAACACATGCCATTTTGCCTAAATGTTATTATAAATTATATTATTGCTTTAAAAGCACCAATTTTACAATGCATAGTTCTATGTCCTGTCTATACATTTATTATTTTATTTATTTCTATTATTATTATTTTGTATTGTGGTAAATTTTACCAAAAATAAAATTACTAAAATGTGCTTTACATGACCATTTTATTTTAACGTCCTATGAATATGATCAATAAAACGACGCGATTAGGCGTTTTGTTTTTGAAAGTTCGCGAAATGAGGGTATAATCAATACAAAGCTATAGCAAGTTTTTGAAATATTAAGCCTATTAATAATACAGATTTTTCATAGTATATAATATATAAAGATTTTGATTGATTTTTGTTTTTGAGAAATTTTTACCTTAAATGTGAAGGCAGTTTCATCAATATTTTTTTCTGTCTAATAATAAAACGAAAATTCAAAAGTCAAAGTCGTATTATTATTGTAACGCAAGTCCCCAAATATTAACAATACAGTACATGTACTTGTTTTCCCAGCGCACAGTACACGTTCCGTCTGTTGCGGTGTCCCAAAAATATGCTGCTGCCGTATGCAGACCACACCCATTCTTCTGGGTGACTGTCATTCTCACTAATAACAAAATATTTTTAGAACGTTTGTTTATTACGTTTTAGTTAGGAGAGAGTAGTGCACAAATTAGGTTTATCGGTCACTTACTTATGTATTTAAAAGGCTTATTTAGCTTTGTTAATCTCGCCAAAGTTCTTTCTGTGATTACAGTTATCCACTGAGGCGCCCGAGAATGACTGTAAACGTTCCCTCCTAAACATAATTCGATGTTATCTCTTACTAGTTTTTGAACTTCTTCAACGTTAAAAACTAGATCCTGTAAAAAATATTTAGCTGGTAAAAAAAAAATTTAATGTTTAATTGATTATATAATGATATTAAAATCTCAATGATGATAATAATTTTTTTGGCGGGAAAGCCGCCGGGGGGGGGGATTGAATATTGGGAAATTATATATAAGGAAACAGATGCTAATTTTAATTATTTTTTTGAAGTTATACTTCTTTAGGCGCGTTATGAAAAATTTATGAGAGTGCGAAACGATGCGCGCGCACCGTGACACAAAAATAACAGATTGAAGTTGCCCACGGAAGATGCTACGGCATTTGACATAATTTAAAAACAAGATTCGAATAATAATAGAATTTATGTTACACTGAATGTAAGAGAATAATAATAAATATTTATTTAATTTTTCAAATGTAAACTGAACTTTATTGACTATAATGACTCCATTTCCAGTCTTTGATTATTTAATTGTAATTAATTATTTGCATGGAATCAAAAACTATTTTTAATAATGCCAAAGAAGTATAACTTCTTACGCGCGTACAAGCACCCTTTTTTTTAAATTCGTAAATCCAATAACAATTTAATTAGGTACCTCCTCATCATCTTCTTGAGCCATTGTGTGGTAAACCCAGCTCCTTTATGTTTTCTAATACGATAGAGTTATATTTTTCAAATAATTGCTGAAATAATTAGTTGGAAATTGACAGTTATATTAAATTTAGAAAACCTAAATTTTCAAATGTTTATGGTCTCTCCTTGTTAAATCTAATTTATTTTTCTAAAAAAATACCCTGCGTTTTGATATAATTATTTTATCTATACTTCAAAGTTTTATCCAAAGGCTATATTACGTATGTTTTATCTTAAATAATCTCAATCTGTCAATTGTCATTTACTATAGTTGACACTGACAGTAGTTGTGTTTTTCAATTTTCTCTTTTTGGAATGTTTGTGTTATACAGATTGTGAAATTTATCAGCTATGTATGGCTCACTGCTGATTTTATGAAAGAGAAAATAAGAAGCTTAAATTGTAAATATATTTTTTAAACTGAAATGTATTGAGTTGAGGAGCCTTATGCCGGTTGGGTTTTTGGCTTTGTAAGCTGTCCCAAATTAATGGAGCTGAAGGTCTGGGTCGAGGGGATACAAAGGATTGTTTGTGGAGTAACTGAGACTACCACTTGTCAGGTATAGTCTTTAAATCATTAAATGAAAATCAAGGATCTTTTTCGTACCAAAAATCATTAAATGATATTCTGTAAACGCTTCCGAGGGCGAGGGAGTAGTACTGAGGGTGAGGGAGCTGTACTGAAGGCGTCATATTATCGTTAACTGTGTTCCGTGTTAGATCGATTCTAGTGTGTTGTTACTCAGTGCCATACTTGATAATTTGACTATTTAACACAGATAAAACAATTTAATCGACTCACTAGTTCTTTAAATTAGGGTGTTTAACCAAAATAAGTTATTTAGCTGTATAATATTAGTATAGAATCCCTATAATTGCAAGATAGTGCAGTTAAAACTTCATATTTATATTAATAATGATACTATGAAATGAGAGAATAACACTTAAATTGCAATTTAACAGGATGTAGTCTTTGCATTGGCTCATGCTACTGGAAAAGTGGGTAGATTCACATTGATCGAACGATGGAGGAATAATGAGAGACTCTTAGCTCCACAAGAATATCCTCTTAAGGTAAGATATACTCAAATGTCTTTGTAATGTATCTAAAATACAATATACTGAGATGTATCACCATGCTAAATGAGCCTAAAATTTTAAATATCTGACAACATGACTGTCCTTCTTTTCTATTTAATCAACTTTGATTAACTGACTTATGTTACTAATTTCAGATTCTAATGAAATGGGGTGAATATTCCAACGATATACAGTTCATTCTAAGAAGATCTGATAGCAGCGATAACCAAAAATTTTTACCACCTAATAGCAATATAAAATCACCAAATGGAAATGGGTTAGTTTAAAAAAGCTACTCACTGTTTTTGTTTTATAGTACAGAGGACATCATTTGATGTTAAGTGATACAGTCACCCATGGACACAGTCACACTGCCAAAAAGCTTGCAAGTGTATTTCAAGCAAAAGGTATTGGCATCTCTTATCATGAATAGCCCTAAGTCGAATTGTTTCGGAAATATTTCAGTGGGCAGCTGATTCCACATACTAGTGGTGTGCGGCGGAAAACACGCAAGCTTGTGTCTTTTTAGAGTTAAAATTGGACTAGATTTAGTCAAGATTGGAGACCCCACCTCCACATAAAATAGTTGACTTCAGACACAAGCTTGTACTGTACCGGTACTGATCGAAAACTGCCCAAGAAATACCTGAACAGCCCATGTAAAGAGTATCCATGGTGCTGTCGTCCGCATAGCAATAAATGTTGCTCAGTTGGAACATATTGATATGCAGAAGAAACGGGGTGTCTATTTATAATTAATTAATTAAGGCATCTGGCGCATTAGCATTGAGTAGCGGCATTAGCATCAAGTGGCCTGCTAAATGTCAGTTAAGTCAAACCTGGTCGTGCTCATCTCTCAATATTTAGTTTTATTGCCCCTTAATAGGTTAATAACTGAAAGAATTATGATACATTTTTCTTTAAAAGGTTTTATAAATTTTTTATTAAGTTATCTGTTTTCTTTGTAATAAATTAACCAAGATTATTCAGTTGCAAGTACATGCATAAAAAGAGTGAGATTTTATCTCAATTTCAAAATATTTGAAAGCACATCTGTCTATCACAAATCTAATCTTGTTTACAGTCAAACTACACTAAATCCCAATGTACAAGATAAGCAGAATTCACCAAATAGGCCAAACTCAACTGCATTTAACAATGTTAATACATCACCAAGTAATCCGGTGGGTGTTGTAAGGGGTATACAACAAAGTAAGACTCCAGATGATAGTCCAGTATCTAAAGATGTTCCTCCTTATAGGTAAGAAAACAAAAGGCTGTAATAAGTTTGTAAAATTACTTGTAGCTTTTGTTTTGTTATTTTTTTTTAATTACCTGCCTGCCATACAATTATTTATTTTAAAATGAGTATGTTATGATTTCTATTCGAAACCCTAGTTTGCAAGGTGGTATTATGTATTGCTTGATTTGAGTTGTGCTTTGTAAATAATGTAATATACTTTGTAATGTAAGCTATGTTGGAATTGCTTTAACATATTTAAATAAGAGCCAATCTAAACTATCCACTAGATGTATTGCATGAAAAAGATAAAAATCTTTCATTCAGGGATCCCCCACCACCATACAGATCTCCCCCTCCACCTCAAGGAGTTCGGAAATCTCCCAGCCGCTCGAGACCTCGCTCACATATGTCACCGGTAAATGAACCTGATGAAGAACGGAATCCAGAGGCAGTTAGCTATAACACTCAATATAGAGAGCTGGTGTCGCTTGTAAATTATCAGAGGGACAAACTTTCCAGCCAGCAAGTTGATTTGATAAAAGTATGTATTATAAACATTAGATAATTACATTCGAGGAGTACTAATGAAAACTTTGTGTCTTAGAATTTTTATTTAAACTCATTTGACAACTGTTTTATAACCAAAATTTTGCTACGGAACGCCTCGTTTTTATGCATTTTATTGATGTAATAACGCCACATAATGTCACATTGCCAGTGGGCTCGCAAGTGCGTTGCGGGTCTTTTAAGAATTGGTACGCTCCTTTGCATGGCAAGACTTATCAAAGAAATCTATACAACTAGGCTTATAATTATATATATAAAGGATATTTTATATATATATATATTACGAACGGATAAGTCTGCAGTTTATAATTAACAGTGTGTATTGACATACCATATAATTTCATTACTTTTAGTTTATAAAGGTAACAAACACATTTAAGTTTTAAGGTTTTAGTATTGATTCAGTGTAGACTGGTATAGATAGCATTAAAAGGTACATAGATACATTTTATTAAAGCACTTACTTGTATTATAACACTTTTTGTATCTATATTTTTATATCAAATTGCGTTCACACAAAAATGAAAGTACTTTTTTATGAAGTAAATAGTTGCTATGATCAAGAGATGTGTTTTATCGGGAAAAACCTGAAGTAGATGAATGAAGTACATATTATTAAATATATTTTGATATCCTTTAAATTAATATGAATATTTTCAGTATGATGCAGAGATAGGCTACTGGGAAAACAAAGGCAGAGAGCAGGAAAGACAAGTGGAACTCTTACAACAACAAATTAACTCAGCTGACAGTCAACTTAGAATTAGCACAGAACAGGTATAAACATCTTATATAATTTATTATAATAATTCGATTCTATTTTGTGGATTAATTAATCTGTGTCAAAATCGATTAAGGGAGCGAATCGAATTTCGAATGTTTGGAGATTATTGACACCCCCCTCGTGTAACGCGCTGTAACGTTTTTCTGTACCCAAGTACAGTACTCTAACCAAGTATAGTAAAACGTTTCGTGACCACCTAGTGACTCTTTATACCTGAAAGTTACCATTATGTGGTGTAAAGTACTGGAAGGTCGAAAATAATATTAACAATAACGCCTTTTACAAAAGGACCCCCCCCCCCCAAATTCGTTACGTAATACTTGAACGCTCCCTAACTAATAAAAATTATCAAATCGACGCAACGCTTCTTTTGGGCGGAACATATTGGCGATTTTCAGCAAAACAATTGCTCTAATTGGTTTAGTAATTGTGGATTGTATTTTCAATTTTTTTTTCAAATTTCAGGTACAAGCATTAAACTATGTTGAGGAGGAAAGCGAAATAGCGAAACAAAATGAGAAGACTTTAAAATCAGAGATTGTATTGGTTCGATCAAAACTAGCCAATTGTGAGACAGAACTTTTACAATGTAAGAACAAGATACGAAAAGTCATGGAAGACATACATACTGAACAAAGACTTCTAAATGGCCGTCAACAAGAGAATCGGTAAGAAATGTTATTAAACGTCGGAAATAGAGATTTTTTATTGTAGTTAATTTTTAATAGATTTATTAAAACTACCCACAAAACATAGTTTCAATTGTTAAGTGTAAAAGTGGGAGGAGTTGTTTTATAATAAAAACATAACAAATATATATAACAATATATATACATTTTATATAATCTCATTCGGTAATATTCTCATTATGAAATGAAATACAGACTTTTATTGGCATATTTTATTTACATACTTCTTTAAGAAAATTAAATTAAAGCATTATTCTCCTAACAAAACAATGCTTTAAAACAATTTTTTTATTATTAAAGTACAATGTGTCCCGACCGAGGAGGTTTCAATTCAATTTAAGTACACATTATTTGTGGCGCGCGCAACCGAGCGCGTTGTTGTTGTTGATACTTTCGATTGGTATAGAATTTATCTAATAATCATACCGGTGAAATGTTTAAAAAAATATATATTTTTTAATATTAATTAAAATACTCTGGACTGAAATTTGCTAGGCAACCCATATGGATTATATTTATTGACATATTAAATTAAATATAAAATACGTTTCATTAAATAAGCATCTCGGTGAAGGTCATTGTATATCGGGATCTTATATTATAACAGACTTTTCCATTTTGGAGCTTTTTCGTACATACGAATTTGAATAATATTTTGTTGGATAAAACTTAAGTATCAAAAATGTCGAGCAACACCGACGATACTGATAAAAATTTAACTCCATCTGACATTCTAGAAACAGCTACGAAACTGACGAAAGTCTTTTGCCAGAAAAATCAAGAAAAGCGTACGACAAATATTACCAAGACTTTATGACTTGGAAACCTATAGCCATGAGATTAAATAAAGTAGTGTATGCAACTGCGTATAATAAGGTATTAAAACACTCGTTTAATCTTATTTTGAAACGAGCCGTAGGCGAGTACTTGAAACTACACTCATGTTTTAATACCCTCTATTAAATGACAGTTGCATAAACTACTATAAACATACCCCATAAATCATTTATCTATTTATCATAATGAAATTAAAATCAGTTTAAAAGATTTAAGCAAATAGACTCCAGAATTGATGTACCATTGTACATGTATTTTATGCGACTTTTTAATGCTTATTTTTGGTTACTTAAGAATAAATAAAATAAGATTAATGAAATTAACTGTCCAGACAAGCTTTGGAAAGGACAATGTTGGCAGAAATGGATGGCCTTCAAACGCAGATACAACAAGCAAAACATGCCACAGAGATCAACCACTTAACCGCTGAAAATCTGAAACGAGAGGTAAAAACTTTTTATATATTTTTCAGTTATGTAATGACTAATAACTTTACTTTATTGTTATGTAAATACGGAAAATAAGTTCCAAAAAGTTGGATAGAATTTATGAAGGTTATAAGGAGAAATTGTTAAACTCTTTGTTTTACCAGATTTTTTTAATTGTCAGATTCAAATATTCGAGTTTTATCGAAGCCGTGTTACATTTTATAATATTTAATTAAGGTGGGTGTACTCGAAACAGCCATAATGGAGAAGAAGCGTCAGGTGGAACGGCTAGTTCAGGAAATGAAGGAAGCTAATCTTCAGAGTCTTACTGGTAGTGTGGACGAGCTTCGGCATCCGTTAGACGGTAAGGGAGCCTATATTACGTTGAGGAATTGCACAATTCCATAGTAGGAATATAGCGAGCATTCAAAGATGGCGCCTACTAGCTTCCAAAATTTATTAAAATTTGAATTTATTTGTTTTGAATATACGTTAATTGCCTTGCCTACTATAACAATTCACTAACGGATATTATTTGTGTCTGTAAATATTTATTTAAACACCGAATATCTTTAAAGATTGCTTAGATATTTTTTAATTAAATACAATATACAACTACAGAGCAGTGCTGGCGTGCGAACCTCATCTCTGAGGTCGTGTGTCGAAATTCACCGATGGAGTTATCTTTCTATGTGCGCAATTAGCACTTGAAGGCAAAGATCAAGAGGCATGTCTCAAACCCAAAAATCAACTCAGAACTCTGATTAGGTGATCATTGTCTATAAAATAAAAATGATCTAGGTGATCATTGTCTATAAAATAAAAATGATCGTAGAGAGTTCAAGACTTACAGAGGGTTGTAGCGCCACTAGTTTATTATTATAATATACAACTAAAATTTAGAAGTAATGGCTTGATAATCCTATAAGCGCCACTTTAAACTCGAAAAATTTACACTTTGGTACTGGTTACTTTAATTGATCTACTTCTCTTAATAATATTTTACACTCGCACGTTTCGTTTTTTGTATTGTAAGGCTCAATCTATATTTTAGTTACAGAAAAAATTTCTATTTTAAGTAAATATTTAAGTAAAACTGCGATCGATTTCCAGGCATGTGCAAAGCAGGCAGCGCTAGAAGGATTATTGGGTCTCCGAGACAGCTTGAGAACGCCGCCCCCACAAATAAGAACCCACATGGAGTTTGGGTATAAAACTAGTAATATATTTACTAATTTTAAAGTTTTATACAAAAAACACAAGAAACACTCATTCACACACATACATAAAAAAAACATGTTCTGGACGTCAGCAATCTAATTGTTTTAATTATTTTTAAATATCGATTTTAAAAAATGAGATCCTATGATGTTATAATGTATTTTACATTAAATACCTATTACCTATATAGATTATTGCAAATGTCATAAAAATTAAGTTCTGTAAGAATTTTCTATAGAATTTAGTCTCCAACCCGTTTGATAGTCTAATTTAGAAACAACTAGCCAATCACAGACACGCGATGCCATCCATCGTTTACGTTGACGCAATACTAAAATGCGAGCAATCGTTTCGTCTATGTTTTACATTGAATGACCCTGACGTTTTACATAGAACACGGGCCTAAATAAATAATAGTATATGTGTTATACTAAGTATAATTAATCTATTGCAGTCACATTGTATTAAAAATATAATTTTATAATTTGACTTTATGCATAAACATTTATGGAAAACAAGTTGTAAATAAAAGTATATCATATTTAATCATTAGAATGTAATATAATGTATTAGCGTTGTGTTCAAATTGTGTCATATACCGTCACAAATTACTTATAAACGGCTCCACTCAGATAATTCTTAACTTAAGTACTCTAAATATCGTTTTCCTTTATTTTCTTTAAAATGAAAAATTATGTGGAATATTTTCATTAATTCACTAATTAAATAAATGAAGATAAACCTACGAGTTGGAATTATCATGTGAACATGTTTGAAGTTTCTATGTAGGGTCGTTATAATTGTACTTAGCGTTTTAAAAAGTCTTGCCTTTTTTTGTTTTAGTAAAAAGTATATCTATAGGATTTTAATTAACTTCTATTAATCATTGCTTTTTGCGTAGCGGCATTTATTATATGAATCTAAGCGAGTTTTAGTTTGGTGCAAAATATTGTGTGATCTTAGTTTTTATGAATTTATGATATGAGAATGCAAAACGAGAAATATTTTTTAACTAAACAACGTATATTGATATAAAAAAATACGTTGTTTATATTGTTAATATAAAAAAATAGTTAAGCACGATTACGGTTTAAAAATAATATGATAGATTTTTAGAAAACATTTTGAGGAGTACATATGACATTGACATTAAAAAAGGAACATGCTGAATTCTGACAAATGGCTTCGCTATAAAACAGTGTTGCTCACTTGGAAATTTGTTTCAAAGTAAGGAAAATAAATAACCTCTTTAAAGTTCATATTAGATTCTTCACACTTTTCTTTGATTTATATACATTGTAAATAAGATGATTTAAATTCATCAAACCATGCATTCTTCGTTTTGCCTTCTCCGTGCCGTGCGTTGTGCAATGTGCCATTAACATATAGATTAAATAGACAAATTAATTTATAACAAAACACTATTGAACATTTTTTCTTTGTAATATTGAGACAACTTGCAATATTTAAGTAAATAGTAAAATCTAGTCGGAAATATAAAAGCCATTACAATATTTTATAAATTTATATTCTTCATCAGCCTTCAATGATTTTTATTGTTAGCATAATAGAATCTCTATAGAACATTTTAGACTTGAATTTTGTATTATTTATATTATGTATAATCTGCATGGTTATTAGTCGGATTGTATACTCAATAAAAACAATTCAATATAATGTTTTTTTATTTTAAAAGGCATTAAACATGTACTTTTAAATCCTATAGGACACACCTTAAAATGATTTTTGTGTAAATATCCCCCCATATGATATGATCAAGTCATGGCTTTGCAACGTTAGGGAGTGGACGGGTATTGCAACTGCGGAGTTGCTTCAAGATACTAACGGCCAACCTCCAGTAATGGAGAGGCACTAAAAGAAGAAGATGATATGATAAATAAGAAACCCGATAACACATTCCTGTTTAAACAAAAAAAAGGTGGTAATTGAAACAAAGTATATGTATAAATTAAATCTTATATTAAAATGACAAAATTAATCTGTTCATTATCTAATTATAGGAATATTCTATACATATTGCTCGATGTCATATCATTTAATTACGTTTGGAGTCAATAACATAACATTGGGCTTGAATTTTTATCATAAATGCGCAAACGCTGTACTTCATTGACACAGCAAACTTCCAAAGAGCACTTAATGGAATCACATTACCACATTTACGTTGATTCACCACGTATATACATCATTATCAAATTCATTGTGAAGATTTCTAATATTAAATACTATATTTTGTGCTTTGATTGTAAATCAAAAATGAGATTTGATCAGCTAGATTTGAACATTATACTTTATTAAACATTTTATGTCGAAATTAGTCATATATATATATATATATAGTATATTAATAATTTGAAATTAATTGTCAACATTTACCATACATATAAAATAATATTGAATCTGATCTGTTGTAGGCTCAGGTACACTTAGGAATGAGTTATAAGAATTTAATTTTTAATAAAATAAATAAACAATGTATATTATTATGCTCTTAAGTATCATTGCACTGAAATAAATTTCCAGCTGCCTTTAGTCTAAACAATTATTATAGTAGTTGTATATTATTCTGAAATACTGTTTTATACATCTTAAAACTTACTGAGAATTGATTATTTTCATCAACATAAATCATTTGCAGTATTATAAAATATGGACTAAACATAGTAACGTGTTTGTTACCATCGTTTCGTTATTACATGTAAAAAAATGGCAACCATGGTAACAAGAACAGTGCTTAGCCCACGTATTATAAGGCCGCGTAGGTTTAAGTAGCAAAATATTTTTTACAAGCTAATGTTTCATAAGGCTTTACATTAAGAAATTTGGGAATCAAATTATTTTACAAATATCCTTGGTTTAAGAAAATTACAATTATTGTGGAAAAATTTAATTATTTATTGCTGCACATAAATCATTAATGAAAATCTCTTTTAAAACAGCATGTTCTGTCACTATTGTTGTACCCATAGTTTATTTATGCATTGAAACATCTTACAAACGTAACTGTGCTCTTCATACAATATCACAACCTCACTAACCAAACAGTATATGCTATGCTTTTTCTTCTTTCTCTCGATTATACCTTTCAAGCTCCTTTAGAAATTGTCCCTTGGGCTTCATGATGTTTGGCCTGTCTCCTCGGCATTTTGGGCAGAACCACTTGCCTTTTGGTTTTGTTGTGAGGGACACACATGAGAAATGGAACCACTCAATAGGACATAAGTCATTGTCACAAAGAATCATTTCTCCAAAAGATATCTGATCACACAGACAGTACCGTGGCTCATCAGGGTCTATGGCGTCGGTTTCTTCAGGTGGTGTCTCAGAACGCTGAGCTGCTTGACGCGCTTTACGTTTTTTCTTCTTGCCTATACCTAAAGAAGGTTATTTTTTAGATATTTATATTTTTTTTAAATTAGTGAAAATTTGTTCACTAAATTGTTTTAAGATACTACTAACATTTAATTTTGATTTTAGTTCTCGATAATGGAACAATTGGTTACTCAAACTGGCTGGCTTGATATACCTATATGTATACTTGTGAAAAGTATGTGTAGTAAGTTGGTGTAGCCAATGTCGAAAAAAGGAATACATATCTATATTTCAATAATAAAATTACATTATACCTTTCTTATGAGTGCTGTGAGTGTGTCGCTCACTATCTCTTTCGCTGGAGTCAGCTCCATCAGTAGCAGCACCTGCTGTTGTACGGGACCGGCGAGCTCTCTTTGACCAACGTTCACCTAAATATTTTCAATAAATTTTAAATTAGGATTTTTCTTTAATTTGGAGGCTCAAAGGGCTGTACAAAGGATCATTAAGCAATGAAACAGACCTAGAAAGTCAGGCCCCACTGAGTTATAAGACTATATTTTTACTTAAACATAGTTACATCATACCTCCTTTCTCTTTTTCAGACTTATCCTTATCTTTTTCAGTATTCCGCTCAGGTGGTGGTGGAGGTACAGTCTGCTGCTGTGTCTGCAGTGAGTTAGTTTCTTTCTCAATTGATCTGGTCTCTGTGTTTTGTGTTGGCTCCTCTTTTACAGCCCCATTTGTTTTGACTTCTAAACATGACACTAAAATAATGAAGACCAGATTATGAATTTGGATTTTCTGAGGATGCTTGTTACCAAAGCTATTGCTTCAGATCAGATAAACTAATGAATAAATTGTCATGTCTATAACCAAGAAACATAAGTTTACAATTTTTTTGTAAAATCTCTTGAAAGGATATCATATACATTAAATAAATTTCATTAGAATTATAATGTAAATTAGGTACTCACCCAATTTTTTATGATCTGCATCTAGGCATCTTTGTTTGTTGTCAATTAGGTCCTGCAAAAGTTGAACAACTTGCAGTTTTTCATCTCCTATTTCTTGTGCTGCAACAAGGGCGGCTTGTAATCTCAGAGCTGCCCTACCACGCCTTCTTTCTTCTGTATTAAGACCAATACATACTGCTAGGTGTGCCTCTGCATCTCTCAGACATTCTAATAACATATTGTTACTTTAAAAGTAATTCATAAGTCAAATTATTATATTGTTTATTCAAACTAATAAATTATTATTGTTTGCAAAAAACTATTAACATTAAGAATTTGAGTAAAAATAGCAAGTTATAAGTTATTTTTGTCCATGGCTATCTAGAGTAAACAGCGAACATAAAATCACGCGTCTATTATTGGTGCAAAACAGTATGTCAACACAACAGGTACGCTGTTGAATTACTTGCTGAATACGAGTTTAAACGATAGAAGAATCATAAAATAAGCCCATAAGGCATCAGATTATTAAATTTATTACGAGTTTTACCTCTGTATGTTACATCTAATTCTCGCATACGCGATAAATGTCGTTGCAAATCATTTGGAAGATTATCAACGATATCCAAGTAATTCTCAACGTAAGCTGCTGATAGCAGTGCTTCAGTCGACGTTTGATTCAACATTTTTAAACCATTACAACACTTTTCATTAATAAGTACACAAGAAACGATAATTGTTTTAATGCATTTTTTAATTTCAACGACAAATAAGTTCTCTGAAATATGAAGCCGTCAAAACACAAATGGACGTCACTAATCAGACGTCACGTCCTCTTGAGCACCTTTGTTCTGTGGTCACGTCAAGCTGTGGTGTTACCAACTACCGGAACGAAGTTTAAATATAGTTTAAAAATTGCCCACGGAGCGCTGTTTTACTGTTTGTTTCCAAGTTAAATTTTTAGTTATATTTGGAAGTTAAAAGTCAAAATCATTTATTCATATAGGTAACACAATGTACACTTATGAACGTCAAAAAAGAAATATACATTAAATGCTTCTAATTTTACATTTACTGCCAGTTCTCAAATCAAGGGCGTAGAACGGAAGAGAAGAACTGGCAATAAACTCTCCGCCACTCTTTTTAATCGCCAAGTTTTTGTTTTACACAATGTTTGTAAGGAGCTGTACATCGAAATTCGAAGTAGAGGTCGTTAAGCTCTTGGAAGGGAATAACATAGACTTGCTCAAACAATTATATAATCACATTTATGACACAGGTCACAGATGACCTCCCAACCGAGTGGTTAAGATCTACGTGTAATGTACACTACATTGTGTTACCAATATGAATAAACGATTTTGACTTTGACTTTGATGTTATCTGAACCCAATTTAGCTATTTTTAACGCATGTAAAATTTCTGCTTTTATTATGGCTGGACCAGTGTCATTGACTATTAACGGCATTGCGAGGTGTCTTGTTGGGTCTATAAACATTTTTCATTTTTACTCCAATCCAATCTTTCTTGGCCTAAGAAGTAGCTGCCATTTTGTATCGGCTGGGCTAGTTAAATTGCTGCAATTAAGATCCAAAATTTTTTTTTTTTTTGTAAACATTGAAACTATCGTGTTGGTTGTGCAGTTCTTTTATGATTTCTCACTTATTTTTGTAATGCGTATCGCGAGCCTTCTTAATTTATTTTCGGATATGATTATCGAGCTCCTTATAGCGGTGAGATACGATATTTTTACACAATTTCGGTTCTTCCATTAGCTGTATAATGAAATCACTCATCAATTCCTGCCTCTTTGTTGTTGTCGCTGGTCGAAAGAACTTAGTGTAAATATTATTTATGGCTTGTTTGAGGCTCGTTCATATTTCAGGACATGTAGATGAAGCAGATTAGAACGAAGTTTACATATAGTTCTAGTTCTAGAATTGACTTCACTGTTCATTAAAACATTCGACAGCTAGGCAAATAACCACTAGATTGTGGTCAGACCCAATATCTTTACCTACTACGTTTGAGGTTATACCGTCACTGGGCGGTCGCCACAGCCTCCTTCGTTATCTAGCAGGGAGCCGCCGCAGTATCGCTCGTGCAGGTGAGGATGCCAATTGGGCCGGGCATGATGGTTATTCCGTTTTCCCCTTACTCCCCACTTGCTCTTTCTTAATAAAATACGTTATATATCTGAAAGTAAATTGGTTATTTAACTTCATCGGTAAATACTCGATTTTACGTAGGTATGATTAATATCTGCGCTTAAGGGTTCAGGTACAATTATTTAGTTTGTAACCGCCTTAAACAAAAAGGAGGAGGTTACAATTCGACTTATTTTTTTCCTTGCCTAGAAATCCCATACCTGTTAAAATATTTATTACAAATTTCCATATAACTCACGAAAATCAGACAATATAAAATTATAACTACATACTATGTTTAAGAACAACTATTTAAAAAAAACGCCTTATCTTATACAAGGTCCATACTAACTATAACCAAAGTATGAACACCCACTTACTGATTTATAAACATTAAAATAATTATGGAGAGTCAGTTTATACTGCGACAGTCAGACCTGGCACTGATCTTACGAAATTTGCGGAATATATATTATAAAATTTGTACCATCTAGTGCACTATAATATTCATTGTACCATTGGTTGGCACACAAACTATTTCTTTTTTTATGTCACTTTGATAGATTTGTTTAAAAAAATTAACAGTTTGTATCATCTATTAAATATTTTAATACATACTAATTATATGCTTTCATGGTTTTAAATCTAAAGTAGACGTGTTTCAATTATTCTTCTAAATTACAAGTGCATATTAAAGTGTTTTTTTATACAGATGTCCTCTTCTATAATATTTGTCGGGCTACCAGAGGATTCAAGGAGCTCTATAGCAAAGTAAGTACTATTTAATTATATTTCAACCGAAGTTATTAGTTTTTTTTCATAAGTAATGCACATTTTCGCCTCTCAGCTATATACAGCTCAGTAGATAAGTGATTATAATAATTATAACTTGTCAAATTAATCAAGATGGTGGTTTTCTATGTTTAGTGAAAGTAAGGTTTTTAAAAAGTTGGTTTTTATAAAGTTGGTTTTTATATTGTATTATAGAGACCAACTTGCACTGTATTTGGAATGCCATATATGGCGCTATGATAAGTATAAAATGTGTATAGTTATTTGTCGCATCTAATTGAATGTGTAGGTAGTAGAATTGTACCACAAAAGCATGTAGGCGTTAGTGCTACTACCAATTAAGGCAAACGCCAGTATTGTTAAATGTTAAAACAATTACTGTATCGATATGGGTAACCGATAAATACAACCAAAATTCATCCATTTTTATATTATTCAGAATAGGTACGCTTTTTATATCTACATATTACATTATCGCGAAAGGACAAAATGGTATGCGATGTACTTACTACAGAATTAGAATGTACTAAGAGAGTAAGAAAATAAGGAATTTATCAAAACTGATATCATAATTAATTTGAAATATGTCATAATTATTATATATAAATTACGGAATCCCTGAAAAAAATAATTCATATATCCTATTTTCATGGATGCTAATTCTATAATAGCGTACACATTATACGCGAATAAAGCCTCGGGAAAGTAACTATAGTTTGCAGCGAAGGACTTCATTAGCTTTGTTATTTGTTCCTAGCACAAATATATGTGTAACAGAACAATGAATTTGTTAGTTGTTACTAAAAAGGGTCAACTGTCTTGCGTCTACGTGTTTATATTCAATGCCCGGGCAATTTAATAGTGTTGCGAAACAAGTAACAGCAACGTTGCAGTATTTTCTTTGATAATTTGACTCGCACTTGCTATACCATTGTAAAAGGAAAGACGGAGTGGAACAATAGAATTGTATCCTTTGGCTTAGTCCAAATTAACGTTTGCGTGAATCTGTGTTAAGGTACTGCTATGTATCATGTTATTTGCATGTAGGTATTATAAATAAATATTTCTCAAATATCTATCTATTAATGAAAATATTAACCAGTTAGGCTAATTAAATCTTCAACGGCAAGCCTTGAACGAAAGCTAGTATCCCTTCCATCGCTTATACTTGAGCCTATTCACTTAATAAGATTAGTGGGAGCTTAAATATGGCAGGAGGTAACCAGATACGCAGCAGGTCGATACTGAAGCCAGTCAAGCTTTCCACGCACTGATGCATTTACAAGGGGTTTTAACAATTGTTTACCTTTGTGTTTTACTACACCTACTAACACTTTCCATATAACAACATATTTGCAACGTTCGCCGAATTTATTATCCTTACATTCTAAATCTATTAACTATTACCTATATTATTACATTGGTGATTCTTGCCTTTGATTAATTTCTAATTTCTGTGGCGTTTTCGTTGTAAATTTAAAAATACTGTAACATTATTTAAAAGATAATCATCGAGTCATAGTTTATAATGTAATTTGTAGATATTACAATAGTAAATTATTTATAATTTATTTTTGTTAATTAATGTCTTTTCTAAAAGATGTTTATGGTATTTTTTGTATGAATTTAAGTAAAATCCTTAAATGTTTTATGGATATTTCTTCTTTACGCGAAAGACGCCATCAGTTTTTTGAGCAAATGTTATTGCTCATATAAAAATAACACCGGTCACACTAACGGTCTTAGGGTTGACAGACTGCTCTCTAGGCTAACAGCACTGCTCACATGTTACTCACAGGTACGAGGGAAATGTATGATGCATTACGTAGATTTTGACAATGCCAGTCTTCGAATAATAAAACGAGGATTTTTTGCGCGTGACAGGACATAAGAAACTTGTAGAGGTAGATAAACTGTTGATAGTTACGCACGGGCGCGGTGGTTTAGACAATGGAGACGCACCCTCGCGGAAGCTGCCGGCTATTACATGCTCCGCTAGACCTACTCTTCATCACGTCAGCGCTCCTGGTAGCCAACGGGAATGCGGAAATTGTATTGCAAATAATGATTGATTGATGATTGGTTGTGGTTAAAAAATGAGAGGTTGTTTGAATAGTTTTTTACCTTGTTATATTCAACTAGAATAATTTGGGTTTATTATATTTTTTCGTTAAACGCCACTCCGGTTCCTTATAATGTTTTATTTTTCGTGTAATTTCTAAGCATAATATTCACAATTCAAAAGATTTTTAACATCTTTGTTTTCTTGTCAAGGTTTACAATATATAGCGATGTCTATAATCTAAATTCTAAGACGTATGTTTTAGAAATCTTTTTGGAGCAGGTGTGTTCGCTGACATCCTGCTCACAAATATGGGATTGAAGTACAGTAGGTACATCGCCAAGCTTGACATTTCTCGGCCATTTCGATTAAGAAAAGTTACAAAGGCGAAAGTGTCGGCACAATTTGATTTACGATGTTCTAGAAGCGGCAGTGACCATGTCTGGCTCTCACACCTGCAGCGATTGAGGTTTTTTGCTCCACGAAAGTGTAATGAATTGTTTTTTAAAGAGATGTGTATAGATAAAATACTTTCGATGCTATCGGGATAAAGCTTAAGCTTTAAGATTGCTGCATATGTATAAACTAGTATGACCTGTAAATACTCGAATACAATTAACATATAATATTTTAGGAACTTTTAACATATAATACTTTAATGAACAAGTCGTTCGATTGGTATTGG